TTTTTATTATTGTAGATAATAATTTAAAAAAATTAAACATTCAATGTAATATAATACCGATTCCTTTAAGATAATCTAATCTTGATCGATTTTCGAAATCAGAAATAATTGTTACTATTCTCGCATGTAGATTTCGTTATTTTTTTCTCGGAGTAGAGGATGTTTCACCAGAATTTTTAACTCTGTCAACCCTTGTTGTTTTTTAAGCCTATAATATTAATTATTAAGTTTATTAGTAAATCTTTATACTTTTTAAATCATTTAAAAATAATAGATATATAGATAACTTGATATAAATTCCACATGTTTGGATGGTGACTTGTTAGGAGGGAACTGAAGCACCTACGCCACCCTTCAACCGCGTTGTTGGTTTTCGCTTCCCCGTTCAGAGTTGATTGGTAACAATTCCATAGTTCAATATTTGCCTCTTCCAAACGTTTTACCAATGTAAGCTTTTTCAAAAGTTTCAATTAGAGGCTGAAGTAACAATTGATTATTAGAAAAAAATTCGGAGTTTATTAGTAATTCAAATGTTTCAACTACATTTAATGGTGGCACAAATGCCAAGCAAACCATCATTCTAAGTTGTATATTAAAATCCACATCTGTTTTATATTTCTGCGATATTTCTTGGTATTTTTGAATGTTTCACCAAAAGGATTGGCCAAAATGGAAATAGCAACATTTGTGTTGTGAACTGGGAAACACTTCATTGAAAGCTTTTACACTGGCCATTTCAAAATCCGTCATTTTATTTGGAGTTGATATTAAGTTGTCACCTATAATAGTAAATATTTTTTTATATGTTTCAAAATCCATTCTATTGGTCAATATATATATGAGAGGAAAAACATTATTATTTTTACTCCCATGAATTGAATAAATTTGCGATAAAGGTGGCGACGATTTAAATGTACCATCAGAAAACCAATGTTCGCTTGAAGCTAAGAAGTCCAAATTTTTTCTTGTTCCAAATATGATAACACGGTCGGGAACCTAGCACACATGATAAATAAATAAGCAATTATAATAGTGTTTCTTATCGGGCAGCTTATCGCAATAAAAATAAAGGATTTAGTTATACTTTTTCAAAAAATAATAGAAAATTTTACCGGACCATCATCATGAAGTATGAAATCCTCATACTTATCTATAATTGAATATTCATGCGGAATTAAAAGCTCGATATGGCTGCTAGGATTCGGAGGTGCAAAACTGTTTGAACTCCGCGTTCGGTGAATTATACGTTTCAAAAGATTCGATGATGGTAGTGCCATTGATATGGAATCACTTAATTGAGATACGTGTTTCCCCACAATAAAGTTTGGAGTTTCCATATTATTATTCAAAGCTTCATTCTTAATTGAATTGATTATTTTCTTGGTTTCCATTTCGATTGGATTTTCTGGATGATTGTGTATTTCTTTATTATCTTCTATTTTACCATTTTTTTTTGTAAGTCGTACGGGTCATTTAAATATATCTTGGTTAAGGCATCTATAATACTTATAATCTGAGACTATTTTATCCAGGCGAAACAAATAATTTTTAAAGGTTAAGATCTCCTTATTTTTGCTTGATAATATATTTTATAAGACTCTGAAATAAAGAGGAAAGAATGGCGAAAATATTTAATATTTATAACCAAGGGAATGGCACCAGCCAGACGAGAATTTTTTTAAATTTCAGCAATATTTTTTTTTAAATAGTTATAACTTATCAAATATGTCATTAATTATTTATTAATTTTTAGTGTAGTTATTTTTTTATTATATTTTAAAATTATTTAAGCTTCAAGAACCCATATCAAAATATTATATTTAAATTAATAGAGATTCATGCCGAGATATTATACTAAAATTTTTATCACACCCCCTTCCCCCCCCCTTCCCCCCCCCCTTTCCCCCAATATACAGAAAAGATAAAAAGATATCGATAAAGATCGTTAAATAATAAGACTAAAAAATATTTTAAATTGTGGAAATCCCTTATTTTATATAGGTGTAATTTATTTTTGAATTGCCATTCATCATCCACACTGTTTATGAGTAGTGACTGCCAAAACCACGGTGGTGCATTTGACCAGTCAAATATGGTTAAAATCAAATAAATATTTTTTTATATTAAATATCATCATTTTCTTTAATATTTTTTAATCAATTTACTTTATGTCTAAATCTTCAATCGATTTCTGTTTTAGTAAGAATATTGACACAAATCGACCAATTTCTTTCTGAAGAAGAAGTAGATGTAGGAATTGTCAGTAATGGCATTTCACTTAATGGCCATGATGGTCAAAGTTAATTCCACTGCTTGAGATTGAAATCTGATTGCTTCTTATGGAAGTTACTGCTTTCCCCATGATTTTCTATTAAATAAGCCGCTTTTTTTCTGAATTTATGATATAACTTGAAATATTTTGATCACCACCTTGTATGCCTAATTCTTTTATTATATTACAAACTTCATTAAATTCACTATGAGTAAAATGCTTTCCTTAATAGTAGGAACTCAAAAAATAGCAGCATTGTGATCATATGTATTTATATCGTTTTTTCTTTTTCAAACATATTATTATATTCAGATCTTATAAAATATTTAGCCATTTGACCAGGTCAAATATTCCCCGGTTCAATTGACCCTTTAATATCTAGTCATTTGACTGGTCAATTGACTGACTCGCTAACCCTGGCCAAAATTGATTGATAAATTTATAAAAAGTCATCAGACAATAAATAGGAATGCTACCCAGATATCGATTTCGCCAGTAAATATCAAGATTTAACTAATAAAATCAATGATTTATATATTGATAAAGCTGTGTTCCTTGTGCGCGATTATTATAAAATAAAAACTTCGAAGAAAAGGATAGGAATAAACCAGATTTAAGTTTATTAATCATTATATAAATTTTTAAGGTTAAAAGAAAATTACAAACTATCATTGTGAATCATTCTTCAACCTATTTTAAAAAAAAATATTATTCATATAATATAATTTTAAAAAAATGATTCAAAATAAATAATTCATTATTAGCAATTATCGCGATATTAAATTCTCTATAATATCTTCGCTATATATGTTTCGTAATATATGTTTCGCGATATATGTTTCGCGATATATGTTTCGCGAAATAATTGTCGCTACATTGTCTTCGCGATTTAGGTTTCGCGATAATAACTTCGCTATAAAATATTCGCGATTATTGATTCGCGATTAAAGTTTCGCGGTAATGTATTAGCTTTAAAGGTTTTGCGATAATGGCTTCGCTATAAAATTTTCGCGATTATTGATTCGCGATAAAAGTTTTGCAGTAATGTATTCGCTTCAAATGTTTCGCGATAAAAGTTTCGCTGAATTGGCATGGACAGTGGCGTAGCTACGGGGGTGGTTTTCGGGTTTGGACCCCTGCCAGAGCTAAAATTTTTTCTAGATTATACGTTCAAAAGACTTAAAAGTGACTTTATATTAAATAAATGTCATTATTATTTATATTTTTCTGGTTTTGATGTTTGTGGAAGGATATTATATTAGTATTGAAATTATTATGGATAGTATTATTATAAATTCATACTAAATTATAATAACATATTATTGATGCATTTAAAAAATATATTTATTATATACGCCCCCCAGGCTTTTATATGTATGAACCCCCTCTAAAAAAAATTCCTAGCTACGCCACTGGGCATGGAGCCCTAATTTATTATATCCATTGTGGGATGAATAATAGGAAATTTAATATTAATAAATTTATTAATAAATAGATGGCGTTAAATATTTGATTGCAAATTGTTACTTATATTTATTATCAAAAGCATTTATTATTAAAATTTTAAAATTATTAGCTATGATTATATAACTGTCAAATATATCTGTAAAAATGGCATTTTAATATTTTATAAATAATTATATATTATAAAAGATTATAAACTATTTATCTACTTACTTTTTATAAATAAATATCTTATACTCATTGATTTGGACCTTGAAAATAATTTTAGGAAAAGACATGATAATTAAATTTAAAAATAAAAATGTAGTTGATTAGTGATTTTGAATTCGGCTATTACAATATTAAATTTGTTAATTTTCAATTGATTATATTTATTTAATTAAGGTTATATAATAATTTAAATAATAAAAGTCAAATAAGTTTCAACTGTTAATGCTAAATTAATATTTAGTAAGTAATATTGATATATATTTTAACACAGAATTTGTTTGCAAGCTGACAGAGTGAACAAATAATTTATATGTATTAATCTAATCTAATAATTGAAATAGTATTCATTTAATAAAAATTTAGATAGTTTTATTAATTTTTAAATAATAAAATTAAATCTATATATTACATAGAATTATAAAGAAATCGTTCAGGGGGCAATTAAAAAAATATTTTTAGTTCAAGGGGTATTAAGGAGCAATTAAAAAAAAAATTTTACTTCAGGGGGATATTCAAATTTTTCAGGGGGCTTGAGCCCTGTGCTCTTCCCCCCAGCGACACCACTGCTTTTCCTTTTCATGTTTGGCTGAAAATATCAACCTTTTCTCAAAGATATAAAAATATGTAGATTAAAATATTATATTATTTTAATTTTTTTTTAAGAAATAGGATTGTTATGTTTATTTAGAAGATATATAATTGATCATAGTTGGATAAAATATTTTTAAAAATTTTAAATACTCAACATGTTTAGCTTTTGTCTACCAAATGCAATAACTTACTAAATATTTTAATAAAAAATATTATTTTTTTTTAGTTAAAAAAAAATAGGGATAGGTTCTAAATAGCTAAAACAAAAATCGCTAAAAATTGGGAACCTGGCTTATATCTCCTAGAAAATTTTTAAAGTAAATATGAAATTAATATTAATAGATACTAGGGAATTAAATACTTGTATTTAAATTGAAAATTTAAAAAAAATCGCTAAAATGGAAGAAATATCATATCACATGTTAGTGTTATATCTTATTTTGATAAAGTAGTCATATCTTGCATTACAGTTTGACAGAAACCATCGTAAAGCAATCAGTCAATAAACCCTTTTAGAACAGTTTAAGTATAATCTTTATTAAATCATATTTGCTCTTAATCGTATGGTATATATCTAGATGGAAGTTGCTCAACAAATGAATAATATATCCCTTGACGAACGAGTAATTAAATTATGAGATATAGGTTGATGTATATTAAGTGTCATTTAATCTGAAAATTTTGAGACGGTTAAATTTTTATTATTATCCTAAATCAACATATGTTACTAAAGTAAACATGAAAACATAAAATTTATATTTTATATTCAGAAAGCATGTGAAAAATTGAAAAAATATGAAGACCAGGTTTTATATATTATGTCAAAATTTTAATCATATATATTACATAAGGTGCCTGATTATATTCATGGTAGACTCTTATTGTGGAATAAATTTAAAGAAGATTATTTAAATAAATTATCAAAATTAAATCCGCAGCCAATTTCTATAAAATTAAAAGATGGGAAAATTATTGAAGGCCACTCCTGGAAAACAACTCCATTAGATGTTGCAAAATCTCTAAGGTTGAATGTATTATATTATATTTAGAAGTGATAAATGTAACAAATGCAGACCAAAGGTATGCTTTTCTTTTTTGTCATTCGTTGGTTTTTTTGGATAAGAAAAATTGGAGATCATCTTTCTATAATTGTCAAATGAATATCAAGAATGTTGAGAATTTAAATTTTATTTATATTAATATATCACATACATTGATGGGCCAACTAGAAGATATAATAATTATTGATCACTAATAGAAATAGGCAGTATTAATTTTAAAATATAAGCAAATTAAAAGAATTAAATAGTTATTTAATAATTTAGTCCTCATAGAAATTATTAATTAATTAAAATATAAATTATCTCAAATTTAGCTCCAAACCAGATCAAACTGTGACCTTCACTTAATACAAATGATATATTTATTATTATTATTAGAACTTCAACATTCGAAATAATTATTATAATTTATATGTGGTGAATTTCATGGCAAATTAACATAAAAAACATGATTTTCAACTTGACCTCTTCAGATTTTTCAAATTTTTACAAGAGTTTGTATATATTATTACTAAGAAAAAAAATTAAATTTTAGCCTTCAACTTCAAACAGGAGCAGAGATATGGGCCTTTAAATGTTGAAAAAATAGAGCATGTTTGTCAAAATGCTCCCTTTAATTATAATATTTAGATACAATTAGGCTGAGAGCTTTGTTTAAATTTCTTTATATAGGTTAATAATAAGCTTTTACAATGACTTAATGTTAAATGTTAAAAATTTTAAATGTCAAAAACTGGAAATATTCATAAAATCAAATAGACATTTTTTTTCCATCAAATTTTTTTGTAGCTATAGGCTTAATTAATAAATATGCAAAATTTCAAGTTGGGCTGAGCACAGGCTTAGGAAATATGGTATTTTAATCATTAATCTATTGAAAACAGAGTTTACATTTTTTTCAAAAACATCTGGAGCAGCTCCTTTTAGGGCTGGAGTGGGAGGAGCACCACTTTACCGCTCCTTTAAATTTAAGGTATTAATTAAATTATTTTTTAAATATTAATAATGTTTATTAATAAAATCAATAAAAATGAAATTATTTTATTTTAATATCCATTGATAAATGTTGAGCTGAGTTTTATTCTAATCGTTTTAAATATTAAACTCAAGTTTTTCATTTTTATATTGAAAATTTTTTGGGAAATCTTATAAGTCATATTAATATTCATTTTATAGATATATGATAAAAAATAGTTTTAGATATTATGGATTTAAAGAACAAAGCGAATTTCCATCATACAAAAAATATTTTAAACTTATAAAAGATGTTGATCCAGATGATCTAACAAATTTAAGGGCAAAATGCCTTTTGTGTTTAAGTAAAAGTATTTCATTTTCAAAAGTGAGCAGCTTCAATCTAAAAAAGCATTTAAAAGTAAAAATACCTTTCTTTTAAATACAAAATGATAACTATATTTTTTTTATTTTGGGATTTTTAAAAAGAGTTATAATTATTTTGGGGCAATTCATTATAGTTGAGCCTGGGTTGATAGATATGATGCTTTTTTAAATATATTTTAATATTTATTTTAATTTTCTCATTACTAAATCTCCTTTTTTATACCTGAATTAAAAAATATCTTTATAAAATACTATACCCTGCTTCCCTCTAGTGCTCATATGGAGTGCTTATTTAGTATTGCAAAACAGATCATAGGGGAGACACGTGGATGTTTTTTAGATTCTAATTTAGAAAATTTATTACTTTTAAAGGCTAATAATAGATTATAAATATATGATAGATCATTTAATATACATCAAACCTTTTGATAAAAAATATATTATTTCGTGTACCTTCTAAAAAAAATGAAAATCAAAGGAGCGGTTATGGAGTGGCACTCCATTACTTTTACTTGGAGTGGGAGCTAGCTCCTTTTAAAAATGTAGTAGTGAGAGCGGGAAGCTAGCTCCTTTTGAGAAGGTAGGAGCAAGTACAGTAGCTAGCTACTTTTAAAAAGGAGACAACTCTGATTGAAAATATTTGATATTAATCAATAATTATAATATAAATCAAAAGATATCAAATTTTTTATATTTAATCAAATAAATAGTTATTTAAGATCTAAAAAAGTATTGTGGAGGTGGGTAGGGGGTATGGTTAATTTAATGAATTATAATTTTTTCCTCATAAAAATATCTACAAAGTACAAATCAATTGTTGGTTATAATTGTATTAAAGATATAATATAATTTTATAAAATTTTTAAATTTATATGTTGTAAATTAAATAATTTTCACAATATAAATATAATTTAATTAGAGGTATAAATGCATGAAACTTTTATGTTTCAGGAATGTGTTTAGCCTTTTGAAACCTTGTTATTTTTTCATATTCATGGTCATTTACAAGTGCGTAATTAACTACTATGATATTTGTTATATAAAAATAAATAATTCTAAAGTATATTATATCTAGTTCTCATTAGGAAACAGAATGCTTGTTCTTGATATTAACCTTTTGTAATTTCTCCCAAACTATTGCAGGCACTTTTGCTATGGGTTTTTGAAAAGTGCCATAATCTTTTGATTCTAAAATTGAGTTCATGTATGAATTTTTATTTTATTTTTATATTGTATTACTGCGCCATTAAAATATTTTTGATATATTTTGAAATTTTGATTTAAGAAAATTAATCATTTTAGTTTGGAATAGAAAAATAGCACATGCGTTATGTTTTAGACACGGACACGTTGACAGCATCACATATTTAATGTTTGTTCATATTAATTTCATGATAATATTATAAAGGGATGGAGAGTAGTCTGGTTATTATTCCAATGGAATCTCTCAGTGTGGTCCTGCACCTCAAAAGCATAATTTTTCGAAAAATAAAAATTCACCAACATTTAAACTTGTTTTTAATGAATTGTGACATGCTGGCTGTTGTTAAGCTATAAATGAATGTGGGATTAATTTCGAAAAATAAATCTATAAAATCGAATATCGACTTGCAAAATTTTTCAATAGTCGCTCGATCAACAAATAACCATCGTTTAAAAATATAATCAATTGCACTATTGTCTAAGATATCTCAAATTTTCTCTTAGATTGAAAAAACCTGGGAAAAATTTACATTTTTTTAAACTAACAATCAGGAAGCGCGCAAGATATTGTGCTACTTGATAACCTTTAATAGGGTATATATGATTAGACGTTGGGAAAATCCTCCGCCGTTCAGCACCATATGCACATGGCATGGGTTCCTGGTCCTCCATCCAATACAATATTTTGGTCTTAATTAAGCGAATTTACTAAAGCCCATTTTTATGTCTCCATGTGTTTCTTTAAAATTAAAATATAAATCTTTAAGATTGCATGAGTCTTTTCTGCAATTGACACTTCTCTCCTTTAACCTTTATTGATATAAAATGGTTTTTACCAGGCACTTTACCACGGTTCATCGGAGTTATAATTTTTTTAAATAATATTTAATATCGTCTTGAAAAACACTCCCAGAGGAAATGCATTTCTTAGACCTTCACTAACATATATGTTTACCCAAATTGTGCGAATTTTAGTAACGAAGTAAATATATTACATAAATTAACAATAACCACCCCCCCCCCTCTTAGTTAATATTTCATTTAATAAATACATAAAATAATAAAATATTTAAAAGATTTTAGCTTAAATATAATATATAATTAATAATTTATCAAATATTTATTACGAATTTTTATGTTTAATGATTAAAATGCCATATCTCCTAAACATGAGTTCGACTCAACTTGAAATTTTGCACATTTATTAATTAGTGCTATATTTTTATATGAAAAAAAATGTAAAATTTATTTTATGATCATTTCCAGTTTTCTATTTGGTCTATTCCATGTCAAATCGATCACGATTCGGCCGACCCCTTTTAAAATTAATAAAAATTTATAGAATTATTTAGAGAAGTAAAAAAATAAGAAACATCTTATTTTAGCTCACTAGCAAACCTGGTTCCCGAAATACAGAGTTTCAAAGGTGCGAAAAATAGTGACTTTGGAATCTGTAAAATTTTTAAAATGTTTATATCTCAAAAACTATTATAGTAAAAATAAATGTAATATATCAAATTGTAGATAAAAAAATCTTTAAAGGTCTATAAGAATAAAAAGGAAAAAATAGGCGCCAATTTGAGTATATTTCCGGTTTACCTTACCTGTGTTTTTAAGCAATAAAGGGATTGGTTTTCGAAAATTTTCTGTTTCAATTTATTTAAACATAAATATATTTAAGATGTGGAAAACTTGGCGTCGCAATCGATTTTTTCTGAAATATGCATTTTTACCAAAAGTTAAAATTTTTATTTGCATAAAATAGATGGCACTATACGAAATTACAAATTATTGTTAAAATGTTGTTGCTAATTTTTTAATAACAGGATATTTTTACTTTTTATCCTAAAATATTTCGAATTTCTATTAAATGTACCAATTAAACTGAGGGGCAGTGGGGCCAACTGTCATACATCTTAATAATGTATCAAATTTTCAATAATAAATATCTTTCATATAATTTTTTATTATTTGATTTTATCATTGATTATCATAGATACATATTGGGATAGGTTCTAAATCGCTATAACAAAAATCGCTAAAAATTGGGAATTTTCAATTTAAATACAAGTGTTTAGTCCCCTAGTATCTATTAATATTAATTTAAAATTTACTTAAAAATTTTTCTAGGAGATATAAGCCAGATTCCCAATTTTTAGCGATTTAGAACGGGAACCATACATTATATCATTTATTTTTTCATATATTAAATTCGCATTAATATTCGAGTGAAATTTGTTTTCAATTTTATCCGGGGAAATAAGATAAAATATGAAAATTTTGCGTTTATTATAAGTGCATTGAATTTCTCTCTAAAAATTATCTTCTCTTTCTCATGTTCGTCTTCCATAATACAGGACAAATCTATTCCTTAACCCATTAGTGGTCAACGTGCCATATCTGCAACAGTTGTTATTTATTGATTTTTTACATATAAATTTTTTGAATTGAAATAATTTCACATATGATTCTTATAGCTCTATGATTGTATTATAACATAAAAAAACATTTTTTAAAAAATATTTATTTTTGAGTGCGCTAGATGTCATTGAAGTTCGACAATTTTGAACTATTAAAATGCCAAATGTTATAAGCTCCCTCGTTGAAAGAGTATTTTTTTTAATGCAATTGACATAAATTTATTTCTTATAGATGCCTTAACCTATTCTAATTAATTTTGGCCCATCATTCTATCTACTCTCAGATTTATAATCATATGTTTTTTAATGTACCATTTATGCATAGCTGACCAAATAAGGGTTCAAAAAACGCAATTTTTCTTAAAAAATTATATAATAAATTTTTTTTATATTCTTACTAAACAAAAATACTATTTTTTCATCATAATTTTTTTCTTATTCTCATTATTTTTCATTTGAATATAAAAATTATTTGTAAATTATTTATTATCATCTTATATTTGCCATATTATTAAATAATATTAAAATATTAATATATATCCATGCTTTTCGATGAAGGCCCTCTGTTTATAAAACAGATGTTCTAATTATACCTCCTAATGCTGCTTTAGTTTATGATGAAGATTTCGATAAAAAGATCTAACTGACACGCCTGATCTTCCACTAGATACTGCAGGGGAGATCGAAATCTTATATCCAGCAGACATTGATATTGTCTCAGAAACCTCAATATCTAAAAATCAAGAAAGAAAATTAAATTTTCGAAATAATATAAAATGAAAAAAAAACTGTTCCAATCTACTCATCGAGACCTACTGATAAGGAATATTATCGAATTCCAATTTGATTTTATCCAAAAAACTTCAATAGAAACATTTGAAATAATTTTTGATCAAGAACATAATTATTCCAAACAAAACAATAGGCTAAATTTTATTACAACCGAGTCAGAAATGAAAAGATTTATAGGAATTCTTTTGCTGACTGAATATAATTCCATTGCTGCAAAGAATATATTGGTCTAATGACAATGATATTATTATACCAATCGTTAGGAATTCAATGATACAATATACATTTCGGGATATAAATAGGAATCTACATTTATCTAATAACTCAACTGTTGATGAAGATGATAATCTTTATAAAGTCCGCCTATATTTAAATTTACTTAATAAAAAGTTTCAACAATTCGGTATATTTTTACATAATTTATGCTCAGATGAGCATATGATACCTTATCGAGGAAATAATATATCAAGGAAAAATATAAACCCAATGGCTTCGAATTTGTTTTTACAAATTAACTCCAAGTTTTCCAAGTATTTTCTTTGCATTTCATTTACTTGATAATTTTTTACATCTCTAAGACTTTTATCGCATTTGAAGTATCTTTGATTTTTTGCAACTAGATCTATAAGAGAAAATAGGCTTGAAAATTCTCCCCTAGAAACAATTAAAATTATTGCAAAAAAGAGAGGTGCTATTACGACTACCGATTTGAAAAGACATATGAAATATTTGTAGTTCGAAAGAATGATAGTTCAGTGGTGACAGTTACATCATCAGTAAAGTTCTTAGCCCTCTATGCAAGATATCAAAATTCTCGCGAAAGTTTTCTCAAAAATAAAAATTAAATAACCTAATCTTATAAATTCATATAATTCCAATATGGTTGGCGTTGATCTGTGCCATAACCTAGTCAACATATAGAATAATATACGAGGTAAAAAAATGGTGGTGGCTTATTTTTAGCATTTTTATTGACATATCGATAGTAAATTTATGGAAGTCATGGAATCGAGTGAATCCTGGATGATAAAAATCATTACTGACATTTCGTCTGGAAATAACTACGACACTTTTGAAAACTCCCCTGGTAAATAAAAAGATGAGTGCAAGTAGAGGCCATCCTAGTAAATTTTCATCACTAAGTGAAACACCTGAAAATTCTTATGGTCATTATGTATGTAATAATATTATCGATATTCGATAAAACCAATATATATTAATTGTTAAAAAAAATTTCATAATATAAAAATTACAAAATTGTATCCTATAAATATGAAATATGTTAATAAATTTGAAATTATCTATCTTCATTCGATTTTGTGCAATAATATAATTTTATCTTATTTTTATACCCCTAATGGTCAACGTTGCAGATATGTAACGGTGATTTCTTATTTAGGATGATTTTTTGATGTTGATTTTTTAATGATTTCTTAGTTAGACTAAAATAAATAAAATTTGAAAAAATCAAGAATTTTCATCGAGTAGAAAAAGTGTGACCATTAATAGGTTAATAAAAATAATTAATAATATATATTAATAAATTAGAAATCTTACCTTTGATATTTTTCTTAGAATAGGCAAAAAACTCTTTATTACAAGTTGTTTGCTCTGACAGGTCTTTGTAAACTAGCCTTGGCCACTACTTTTGACTTACCTCCGACTCCATCATATACCGATTTACCATGAAATTTGGCCTAGAAATGCCACTCAGCTTTTATTACGAAATAATCTTCATGATGGCAAAGATTGATTATTTTTTTGCGATTCTTATATTGTGACGCTGCTCCATCTGAAAAGTAGAAGAATTTTTTTGGGCTGCTTTAAATTTCTTTGTTGAGTAGTGGACTAAATATTTTTGGAATAAATAAATGGCAATTGTATTTAAAAAACATGGCATCGGTATCTGGGGAAAAAGTGGCATCGATGCATCTTTGATAATAGATTTGACATATGTCAGCAAACGGGACTAGGAATTTAATGTATTATGCTATTAGGCTACGAAATCAACTAGAGGTGAGTTCTTGAAGTTGCTTTCTATATTTTTGAACATATTGTTGTAATCTCTTTAAAAATACAATATTTCTATAGAATTTGGACCACATCTTGATAATTCAATATTTTCAATTCATCTTCCAATCAATTTTTTTTTTAAAAAGTGTCTTTATATTGCGATTCTGTTGAACTTATGTTTTGTTTTAAACTAAGGCAGCTTTCCCAATTGGGAAAATAATGGATAATTTAACATTCCTCATCAAATTTTTATAATTTAACATTAGATAACCACCAGCTTTTCTCATAAAAAAATTATGTTTGCCGTTGAATTATTTTTAGATTTATCAATCATAATTTTAATATATTCCATTATAATTTATAATGATTGTTTTGAATCAATAATAAAGATTGTTTATATTTGTTACAATGTTTGAGACAATAAATATGAAATTTTTATAACGTATTACAATTTTTAATATTTAAAAATAAACTAGCAACTCCTTGGCTGATGTTGCTCTGGTTGCAAAAGTTGATAAAGAATTGTGGGATTTAGAAAGACCTTTGGAAAAATCGTGTAGCTTGCAAATTCTTACATTTGAAGATGATGAGGGTATAATATTAGTTTATATTAAAATTTATTATATATTTTATATTTAGGAAAGCAGGTATATTGGCATTCTACTGCTCATATCTTAGGGGAAGCAATGGAAACTAAGTATTGTGGATTGCTATGTTATGGGCCTCCTATAGAAAATGGGTTTTATTATGACATGTTTATGGATAAACAGTAAAATATATCTTTTTTATACATTTGTTGATTTAGATTTTGTGACGTAAAATATAAAACTTTACAAATATTTAGTTGTCTGGTATCTCAAAACGATTTTCCTGCGCTGGAGAACTCCATGAAGTCTATCATTAAAGATAAGCAACCATTTGAAAGATTAGAATTAAGCAAAGAGGAGCTGATGAAAATGTTTGAGGTATTTTTGAATTTCATTCATTAATAATAGTGTTATAAAATTTATAGACACTATGTAAATTAAGGATTAATTAATTGGATAAGAACATTCATATATATACGAGAGTATTACAATAAAGAATCAAAACTTGTTTTAGAGTCAAAATTGGATTGACTCCTATTATTTATATTTTAAGAGACCCTCTGTAAATAATTCCCCGGAGAATTATTTACCGGAAAAGGAATTATTAGGAAAATAACTATTCGGAAAAAAAATATCTCAAAATTTTTCCACTAAAAAAATATCTTGGTAAAATCCCATTTTTTAGATTCTAAAAAAATTTTTACGAATTAAATAAGACCTTTATTCATAATATATAACATTGTAATATTAACATCAGCTCGGGTGGAACTCGTTTTTAGTGTAGCAGATTAGGTTTAACTATAAAACAATTCTTGATCTTGAATTTTTTATTGATTGAAATTTTTTTTTGAGATATGAATGAATGCTAACGCATTCCCGGTTAGTTTATTTTTTTTTTGGAAAATGAATTTTGAACAAGAACGAAATTGTTTTTTTAGAGATGCTTTTTACATCCCTACTTTCTAGTATCTAATAAAATAGATACTTTTTTCCGGGGAATTATTTTTTTGGGGTTGATCATTACGAGATTTAATTTCCGGGGAATGTATTTTATTTATCAGGTAATAATTATCCTAGGATTTATTTTCGGGTTTTCCATTTTCTATATAGTTTTTTTAGTCACACAGTGAAAGGACACTGTTTTGAAACAAATGTCATTATGTCTTAAAAGAAGGCTATAAATATAATATTTTAAAATTAAGAATTGATATTTGTTAGATAAGGTGAAACAAATTACATGATATGTGAGGCTAATACCCCCCCCCCTCCCCCCATCCAATTTAAAATTGATGTCTTTCAAAAGAAAATCTACAAATTGGAAACTAAAATTCTGACATATTCTCACAACATCCAAGAAACAAATTTAAAAAAAATATTATATGATTCTTTCCCAAAGTTCTCATTAAAAATATACTTTCATAATATACATCAAGAAATTATCTAGTAATCCATTTAGATGCCGTAAAAACCAAATAAAAAGGAGTTTTTTAAAATGATAATTACGACTTCTACAATTTTTTTAAAAATTTTGATATACTCTTTTAGTACAATCCTTTCAAGTTGAGAATTTTAGACTCCATAACTTCTTCAATTACTACTGTTTATAGATGTGGGCCGCTCATAGATTTATGTCGGGGACCACATGTTAGAAATACTGCAAAAATCAAAGCCTTTTCATTGACCAAAGTATATACATATATTATATATATATGAATACCAGAGGCATTAATGGGCATAATTTTTTTGATTAAGTCCATCTCAGGCCCTAGTACAAAATTTTTTTAGGCCCAGGCCGGCCCCATATTTAATGTTAAAAAAAATTACCCAAGCCCATCTCCAAAAATTTAATGAAAATAAACAATATTTAAGTGTATTTAGGCAATTAATTTGATAATAATACGGAAATTTATTTTTATTTTAAGAGAAAAATTGCAATATTTTTTTATGTCAGCATTGTTTTAAATAAGCTACATTTAAATAAAAAAAATTTAGGCCAACCCATTGATAAATTTTTCAAAACTCAGACTTAACCCAGGCCCGCTATAAGGCGGCTAGTAATGGGCCGTGGGGCCCGACTCATGAAGGTCTCTGATGTATACAACTACAATCAAATATATTGGTTATGATGTTATTAATTAGGGATGTACCGATATTTTTTATCGGATCGGGCCGATATTTCACCCATTTTAAATATCGGCCAATTATATAATTTTCCGATCCGATCCGATATAAAATGGCGTCTTTAACAAAAATATAATTTTAAAAAAAAGTTATATCTAGAATCATTTATTTTTATAAATAAATCGAAATCCATTTTTAGTTATTTTTTATAATAATTAATTTATAAACATTCTGCCATATTGTTATTTTTTTGCGCATTCTGTTTATAAAAGTGTGCGATAATCTCTTCGGAATCTGTTTTTAGTAATGCTGTAAAGTAACGTCAAAAAAGTAACGACGTTACTAACGTCGTTACCTTTTTGAAGAAAAGGAACATCATACGTTACCTTTTTCTAGAAGTAACGGTAACGCGTTTCTTTTTTTTGGGTAACGGTAACGCAAAACGTTACTCGTTACTTTAAATTTTTTCTTAAAAAAATATTAATAAAAAAACATATTTTATTGTGCTATAAAATTACTTTTATTTATTTTTAATATAAATAATAAACCAAGTTTTTAATTCATATCAACCACCATTCCTTTCATTCTTATTTAAATTTTCGCTCGTTATTTTCAATCAAAATTCAAAGTATATATTAATATTATTATTCTATATTATAATTTATTTTAAGAATATATGCCAAACTCTATAATAGTTGATTCTTCTGATGAAGAAAATTTAACCCTTCCATGGCCTCAATTTGAGACATATTTTATTCCAATAGAGAAAATTAAGGGTACAAAATCGACACTTTGTAAATGTAGATTATGTCCTAAACAAATATATCAACCTCGATGTCTAGCAGTTCCAATTTAAAAAAACATATGAAGGTAAAAAGATGAAATAATATATTATTATTTTTAGATTTTAATAATGATATTAATATAATATACTATTATTTTAAACATATGTGTATTACAAAATAACCATTAAAATAAGTATACTTTCATAATATTTTGAAAAGCTTAATCATGAAATTTAGATATAAAACAATTGAATTATACTAACGGTAACGCGTTTCTTTTTTGAGGTAACGTTTATAGCACTAGTTTTTAGTGAAGCGGTGATATTGATAGTTACCGTCGCCTCAGGCTGACCTCTGATAAATTGTAATTTTGGTATTTCTAAAAAGAAATCTTCAATATTAATGTTAAATATTATTTTAAATTTCATAATATATTTGTTTATTACTTATTATTAGTGCTGTAAACGTTACCTCAAAAAAGAAACACGTTACCGTTACTCGTTACATTGGAAAAAAAAAGAACGCGTTACCCTTACTCGTTACCTTTTTAAAAAAGGAACGCGCGTTGACTTTTCAAAAAATAACGTATTACTCGTTACTTAAAAAAATTAAATATTATATACAAAAATATATTTATTTTTTCTTACAATTTATAATATAGACAAAACTATAAAAAATAATACATAAAATGATGAGATCTTATTATAAAAAATTTTCATATATAATATATAAAGATAACATTTTTTTGTAATAATTTTTTATTTATTTTTAGCAATAATTGATTTTCAAAATTTTCATCAGACAAACAAGAGCGCTTAGTGCTCAACACAGCCTTCGCCGTGCTAAACACACGTTCAATAGGAGCAGAGGATGGGAGGGTGGTATTATATTTAATAAATAAAAATTTTAACTCGGGGAATTTATTAAAAATATTTAAAGAAGTATCTTTATTTTGAAAAAAATTTAATAAAATATCTTCACAAGGATTTTCATTAATTTCCTCAAAAATTTATCTTTATCAGAAAATATTTTGGTATTTGTTTTGGATAAGGGAATCAGGTCTGCTCTTTCTCAATCAAGATCTTTTCTCAAAATGGAAATAAGATCTTGCATTCTTTGTTTATTCATCTCTGATTTTATCCAGGGCCAATCTAATTTAAATAGTGGGTAAATCATTGCTGATAGTATATATTCATCTTTGTAGATGTGTTTGAATCTATTGAAAATAAAATCAAAATATAAGCAATATTTGAAATGTATACCTCTTATCTATGCCTTCCAGGATTGAGTTAATAAGTGGCTTACAAAACTTGAAATGATTTAAAGCCATTTTTTTAAGTTTTAATATTATAATGGTTATTGTGGGAGTGAGATATCCCAAATACATTTTTCCTTCGCTCTCTAAAATAGAAAGAGCCGTAGCAATTGGGTCCATAACTTATAAAACATATATATACATATAATATTTCTTAATTTACACAAACCATACAAAATTCATCCATGAACGACTTGTCGCTATCTGAAAATCTCTGCAATTCAGATTTATCACAAGAGTCATCAAATTTTTGGCAATTCTCCTTAATAAGACTATCTATTAATTTCACGGAGTTATAAAAAGAGTTCCATCTTGTTATAACCGGTTTAATAAGATATCTTCCCATGTTTTCCTTAAAAATGGTTGCACAATTTGAAGATTGCCCATGTTTATTCCACAATAGCTTACATTTAGGAAATGTAATTTTTGAAATGGCTTTAAAATAGACATCGTTATTTGCCTTTTCAATGTCAACACTTGCAATCAGATTTAAAGTGTGTGCTGAACAGGAATGATGCTTGGGTAGGTATACAATACTATCATTATGATTTTCAAATAGATCACATAATGGCAGATGAACTATTTCATCATCCGGTTCTTCTTCTTGTTCATATACTCTAATAAATTTTTAGTAAATATATTATAATTTTTTTTACTTGAAAGCTTTTATATAATTTCTTGCATTATCTATAATGCATTTGGTCACTTTATTTTGTATCTTATAAGTTGTAAAAATTTCAAAGATTATTTTTGCTAGGTAATCAAATGTGTGTTTTATTTAGCCTTTTACTAGCTAGGCAAGCTGAAACCCTCTCAAGTGTCTGGGAGTAGCCAGTGTACAGTCATCCCTAAATAAGAACACTTTAAAAGGCAATATTATCAATCTACAAGAATATTTTATATACCGATGATAAGCTGACCAAGAATCCATAGTTGTACAAACAAATTCTTTAATACGCAATAAATCCACTAATTTTTTTGTCATGGTTTCACCAGCTTTGTTAATTTTTTATACAAGGGTAGGCCTTGATATCACATTTTTGAATGGCTGCAATTTTTTGATAATATTAATAAATGCAGGGCTTTCTACAATTGAAAATGGTTGTAATTCTTCAATTACAAAATTAAAAACTAATTCATCAACAGTATTGAGTTTTATTGATCTTTGATGTATATGGATTCTGCATATCAATGATTGTGAGTTGATTGGTTTCAATTTTTTTTCTTTTATTACTATTTAAGTTTTCATTTATTTGAGGAATGTAAAGCCTATATTTTAAACAAAATATAATTATTTATTACTGAATTTTTATTAAAAATAACTAAGCTTTTTTAATAATTGAAGATTAAAAATTTAACTGCATTTTGAATACCTCACTAAAAAATTGATATTCTGATGGCCAAAGATTTTTCAATTTCTTATTTTTTTCATAATTCTGAATTATCATTTAAAAAGGAATCAGGAAAAATATCTAGGTTCTGTTCTCTAAAACAATATTGCTTCAGTTTCATTATATATTTAATAATACATAAAATAAAGATTTTTAAATTCATATTAACTATTTGAAGTTATACCAATAGCAAGACTAAAACAAGAAATAGAAGATATTGTTTAAACCCAATACATTAGATTATTTTGTTAATCTTAAGTTTTTAATGTTGGTTCCCAGCCCTATATACTATAGTATAATTCAATTGTTTTATATCTAAATTTCATGATTAAGCTTTTCAAAATATTATGAAATATACTTATTTTAATGGTTATTTTATAATACACATATGTTTAAAATAATAGTATATTATATTAATATCATTATTAAAATCTAAAAATAATAATATATTATTTCATCTTTTTACCTTCATATGTTTTTTTAAATTGGAACTGCTAGACATCGACATAATCTACATTTACAAAGTGTCGATTTTGTACCCTTAATTTTCTCTATTGGAATAAAATATGTCTCAAATTGAGGCCATGGAAGGGTTAAATTTTCTTCATCAGAAGAATCAACTATTATAGAGTTTGGCATATATTCTTAAAATAAATTATAATATAGAATAATAATATTAATATATACTTTGAATTTTGATTGAATATTAGTTAGATTAAAATTTGATTGAAAATAACGAGCGAAAATTTAAATAAGAATGAAAGGAATGTTGGTTGATATGAATTAAAAACTCGGTTTATTATTTATATTAAAAATAAATAAAAGTAATTTTATAGCACAATAAAATATGTTTTTTTTATTAATATTTTTTTAAGAAAAAATTTTAAGTAACGTTTTGCGTTACCGTTACCCAAAAAAAAGAAACGCGTTACAGTTACTCGTAACTTCTAGAAAAATGTAACGTATGACGTTCCTTTTCTACAAAAAAAGACGTTACTTTACAGCACTACTTATTATGTATATAGATTAATGTTATTACTTGTTATATAAAAGTGATTTAACAATAAAAATATTTTATATACTTTTAGAATTGCAATTGGATTGAATATAAACTATAATTGATCATTATAATATATTTAAATAACATAAGTTATGGTATAGTTAAATTATAGATGTTATATTAATAAAAAGTATATTAAAAATTAAACCATTGGTATCTTTACAGAATACAAAATTAGATATGATAACAGATCGGTAGTCGGCCGATATCAATTTAATATCGTATCGGATTGGCCTCCAAAATGCGGTATCGGTACACCCCTATTATTAATATAGTACTGATATTTCATCATATTGTTACTCAGGGAGGTTAATTATTTTTATGTAGCTTTATATATAGGCTTTTTTAATCCTTATCATTTTCTCTTTCCATTTTACATACAAAAGACATCTTCAACTTATTGGGAAGGGGATTGCAAAGCTGAAACATTGCAAAGAATATATGGCATATCCTTCCCTGATACTAAGCAATTAAAGGAATGGAAAACCCTGCAGATTGAAGCTCTTAAAAGAGACCATAGGAAAATTGGCAAGGTTTACGATATATTATATACGAGTATTTATGTTACATTTTTTTTATCTTGTAAAAAAAGTTTGGGAATATAAAATCCAAAAGCATGCGCACACTAACATATAAATTTACAGACCGTTTTATTTAGATCCACGTGGGCTTGATCATTTTGGTTCAGCATAGTTTAATATTTTATAATGGATTTAAAAATATCTAGTGATAATTGCTATATATCTTGTAAATGATCATGGCCAAACTTATTAGGGCATCGATTTGCTTCTTATTAAATTATTTCAATTTTTGTTATTATATAGCGTATTTTAACTTTTATAGTGGATGAAAAATTCCAATTCACGGCTACGAAAAAAAAATTTTTTTTAAACAAATTTTAAATCAGTTTTTATTGTATTTGAATTTTTTTAAAAATTTACTACTTTTTTAAAATAAATAATTTTATCCAGTTTCTAAATCATAATATTACCGATTAATTAATATTTGAGAGTTAAAATAAATTAATTATCGAATATTCAAAAATATTTACTTTTTTTAAATTTTTTTTAAGAATTCAAAACAAATTGATTTTCTTTTTGAAATTCTAAATCTTTTTTTTTTGGTTTCTTAGCCCTTCATCAAACATGATTAAAAACTTATTTTATTATAAATTCTCAAATGTTTTAAATAACAAATTAACACTTATATTTTTTTAGAAAAAGCTTAATCACTTTTTCCTAGAGAAGATTAGCCCCTAAAATATAGGAAAATGAGATTTATATATTTATAAAAAAAACTTTTTTTAAAAAAATAAAAAGGAACAAGAACTATTTTTCTTTCACGAGCTCAGTCCCGGCTCCTGTTTTTTCTTCCCCAAAGGAGCTCACATTTACAACACTTTGATAGAATTCATCAGGGGGGAGTACAGAAAAAGAGGTTTTTCCGAAGTAATTACTCCAAATATGTACAATTCGAAGCTTTGGCAAATATCTGGACATTGGCAACATTACGCGGTATGATATTTTATCTGTGCGGAAAAGCATTTTCGTTAATATTGCTACCATACAACCTTCTGTGACACAGTTATTAGTATAGTTGGGTAGTTGCTCTAGTTTTAGTCTAGTCTTAGCCAATAACTTTAACCTCATCCTCAGGTTTTTAAGATATAGCCTACAAAAATAAAACTCGCTTCTCAATGCTTAGCTGATTTCCTTCAGCACATGCTCATAGAATGAGCCGAATCAGTCTATTTTTAGCTATTACCCACCTATAGTTGCTAAGTGGCGTTACCTTTATTTTATTTTTTTTTAATTATTAACTAAACTATATCACACATTCATTTTTTAGTTAGACTTAGAATTATATTTTTTTCGTACATTCTTTCCTTTTGATTGGGATGGTGTATGACTATCAAAAATACTACTAGTAACATGAATTTTTAATTAAAATTTTATTATAAAACAAAAATTTGATTAGGATAACATGTTTATCATTGGCGATGAGGCATCAAACGCTCATTCAACTGCACCATCTTTCAATGGTGATTCTAATACCATTCCTGATGCAAACCAAAATTTATCTTCCAAAGAACATATTGCTTTCAAAGAACTTCAGAGTAACAAAGAAGTAATGGCTTTGAAACCCATGAATTGCCCAGGTTAGGTTTATAGGATTTATATATGTATCGGCCGATATTTATAATTTTAAACGATAATACCCAAGGAAAACAATTTTTTCGTTAATTTTATTTATTTTTTTTTCAGTCTATATTAAGTCATGAAATTTGATAAAATAAATTTGATCTGTGATGTTAATATTTTTTTTTACCTTTTGATTTATTTTACTTTTACAAATTTTATATTTATAAATTATCTTTATAAAACTAAATATAATATAATTTTTTACGGTATCGGCCATATCGATGCATCTCTGATTATAAATGATCAAATAATAAAGGTAAACCGTAAAAATTTTCATATGTAAATATCCATACTTTTTTTTATCTGTTAATATTCCACTCTTAAAAATTAAAGTTTATACTTTGAAAATTTACCACGAATTTTTTTTATTAGGCCATTGTCTGATGTTCAAGCACAGGCCTAGATCATGGCGCGAATTACCACTCAGAATGGCCGATTTCGGTGTTTTGCATAGAAACGAAGTCAGCGGTGCCTTAACTGGACTAACCAGGGTTAGAAGGTTTCAGCAAGATGACGCCCATATATTTTGCAGGATGGAACAAGTTTAACATTTTTTTAAAAAACAAAATAAAGAGGAAAGGGTAAATAAAAGTTATGAGAAAGATGGACATATTTTACAAAGGCCAGGGTAAGATTAGCAGATTTTTGAGTTCAAGATTAGTCAGATCTCTAGATTAGAACAACATTAATTTTTTTTAGTAAGAGCATAGCGTATAATGAATGTTAATTGGTAAAAAATTAAAGTTTGTAATGGAAAAGGACTAAGATTACAAGTAAAACACTTAAATTATGAAATCCAAGCTATACATTTAAAATTGAAATAAAGATACTTAAGGTAATGAATAATTTTAAAAATTCTAATTCTCGTTTTCTATTTAATTTGAATTACCAAAGATTGAAGAAGAAATAAAATCATGTTTACAATTCATATCAGACGTTTTCTGCGTGTTCGGTTTCACGTTTAAACTTTTCTTAGCTACCAGACCTGAAAAATTTATGGGGGACCCCCAAAAATGGGACACGGCAGAACAAGTATATACTCACTTTATCAGGGTCATAAGCAGAATGTTTAATAAGGGTAACTGGGGATGGGGGGGGGGGTTAATTTTTTAAGGTATGATTAGAAATTGCGTATATAAAGCGAATTCGACCAGAAATTATATATATATATATACTATTTAAAAAATAATTTATTTAAAAAGGAAAACTGTACTGTATCACAAAAATTAAAAATATAATGATAATAATATTTAGTACTAAAAAAGTGTTTGGCGTAGATCCATTAATCAAAATTAATGTAATATTATGAATATTTTATTTAATATAAGGCAAATTTGTGATATTTTTTAAAAATTACATTTCACTTCTAATTGTATGAAAATGGCCAAAAATGCGAAATCTACAATATTTCGCTGTGGGGCAGGATTCTACCCCACCCTGTTATTATGACCCTGCATTTTGCACTCACTAATAATAATTTACACTAAAATTATTCAAATTTAGGATAAGGGGGGGGGAATGTGTTTAAAGATATGAAGATTGGAAGATACACTGTTTTTTCATTAAAAAATGCCATCCATTTATGAACATTATAAGTTACCTATCGATCAGAATGGTTTGCGAATTTACTTAATATTTATGTAACTGAAAGTTTAAACAAAACCTTAAAATCAATTAACCATTTAATCATCAATAAAATACTGGAAAAGGGTATTTAAAATATTTTTTTTAAAAAAGGCTTCATGGAATATAAAAGGTAAATTATTTTATTAGATATCCAAAATCTTTTTAAAAAAATCGAAATTTTCTAGAATTATGTTTTGGATACGTTTTTATTGTTTATTTAAAATAGCTTGTTTAATTATTTTCATTAGAGTTTCGAAAATTTATACATATGATTGATTTTTTATTAAATACAATTTCAAAAAAAATATATAAACATTTTATTTTTTAAATAATTCATAACTAAAAAAATGATTCTATTTTTAAATTCAAAAACAAAGTGTCTTTTATTTTCTCAGCCCTGAAAGCTACAACTTTTGATGTCAGATTTGCACATCATTTTATTTTAAATTTAAATATCTTGATAATCTTTTTCTTGATTAAATTTTATTTAGCAATTAGCCAAAAGTTTAGATGAGTTTGGTTTACCATGGACCCTTAATCCCGGAGATGGGGCATTTTATGGGCCAAAGGTATGTAATATTGTTTAAATGAATAAAAACAAAATATTTTCTTTTTTTCAAATCCTTTTTTAATCTATAATAGCTAATAAATAATTATGTTATTTTTAAAATAACAGCTTTTACAAAAAAAAAGAAGTTCTACAGCTCCTTTATATAATATTTTATAACTCAATAATGTAATATTCTGCTACATATATGCTCCATTTATTATGATGCAATAATTTTCCGACAAAATTGGAATTATATTTTGACATATTCTTTTGCTTTATATACTAAAATGATACAAATTATATTATGATTGATAACCCTAGAATAGTTTTTAAAAATAAAATCAGCTAAATAATAAAAAAGAAAGACCTTGTATAATGATTACTAATCTCCACAAAAATATAGATAACTTATTTTCAAAGAAAAAGGAACTAAAATAAAAAGAAGTTTATAAAATTAACTCATCAAAAAATCAGTATAAATCTATCAAAAACATCTAACAATTAGTAGCCAGTATTTTAACACCAACACATATTAGAGATCTGCAAAGTCAGGCCCATTTTGGCCTTAAAGATTTTTGCATTAAAATTTTATGAAAAGTCCGCCCCACATAAGTTTTTTTATACGAATTTTCTTGCCATCGCATTTTTAATATATATATCTAATTCTTTCCCAATGTTAATTAAGGCCTTATATATCTACTTTATTGCTATCTATTTCCACAACAACCGTTTTATAAATCAATTGTTTTTGATATCTGTTTTATGTATTTGTAATTGGATCATATCATAAATAATTTATTTTTTATGAATTTTCTATATTAGATAATTTTAGTTAGACAACCTTTAAAATACAGAGAAATAAGCATATTGTAATTTATTTTCAAATAGTATGAATGATCAATATTATTTAATTTGAAATTGAATTTTATGAAAAATCAGAGATTTGCATGGTCTGTCTGGTTTTTTATATATACAATGTCCGGATCAGCCCGTTACATTTTTAAAAACAGGTCCAGTACGCTGGCCGGTCTTTGCATTCTGATATAGATGTAATATTAAAAATTATAAGAAAATGAATGAAAAATATTTTGCACCTCCTGTTTTTTAGAACTTTTCTTATTTTTTGATGTAAATTGAAATGAATAGAGCAAAAAAAGATTTGTAGGAAAATTTCCCTTATATTCCTCGTTATCCTCTAGGAACAAAAATTTATAAGTAATTATTTTGCGCAATGATAAAAAATGATTTTATACAGTATAAAATAAGTACAGTAAAACCTATCTAATTTTTGCACCGTTTGGACCAAAATTTATTTAGGCATTTATTAATACACAGTAGTTAATAGGAATTTGATTGTGACTCAAAATTTTGATCAATTTAAGGAGTTGCCCAAATTATCAAGAGCTCAAGACAAGTTTTGCTGTATTTATTATTTTTTTTGAATATTAATTCTTCCTACCTTCATCTGATAATTATTTATTCTTGAAAAATATACTAATTATGCGATTTTTTTTAAAACAATTCTAATTTTAAAATGGCGATAAAAACGTTAATAACTAATTCTAACTTATTTATGTACTGTGTGCAGTGCACAATACCAATTGCTAATTATTCGTTTACCAACAAGCTTATATATTTTTTTCGAACTTGTCTATCATGCCCAACATAAAAGAATGACTCAAATTCCTTTTTTTCCTATATAAAAATTTTGCACTTATTTAAAAAAAACGATTATTAAATCGTGTACATACTTTTTAAGGCCTTTATAACGTTTTCCGGTTTTAAGATATTAATTTTTTGTTGTTGTTAAGAAACATGGATTTTTTCTCTACAATTTGTATTATATGTTTTAAAATATTTAAACTTAAATTATTTGTGTTAATACATAGATTGATATCATATTGACCGACGCTTTGAAGAGAAAGCATCAATGCGCAACTATACAGCTGGACTTTCAACTACCCGAAAGATTTGATTTGACTTATGAAAGGTTATTTTAATTAATAACCATTTTTTTAAAATTTGATATGATCCTTATATATTGTTTGCGTCTTATTCTAAATCCGTAGAAGATATATTTATCAAAAATTTTATAAAAAAGGTTAATTGAACGTTTGAACTTATTCTTTAATTTTGACTCTATATCTTGTTGGATTATTACCCCAAATGCATCAGACTCATTTTTCTAAATTTATAACGGAATTAATTTCTTCCTTTAATTTAATTACTATCCCATTTAATTTGCTCATAGTTCTAGTATAAGTAATTTTTTTTTACACATAGATCATAAAGTTTATTTTAAGAAACAAATTGGGTTTGAATGGTTGGAAGATTCGATTATTGCATTTATAGGAATAAAATTTCAAATAACATTATGCAAAATTTCGCAATAAATAAAATATGTCAATACCTAATATTTTTTTATCTAAAATTCATACATAATAAATAATCATAAAGCTAACTCAAGAGAAGAACACTTTACACATGCGACCATATAATTATTATAAACGTAATAAAAATAGTTTCAAAATTTATTTTTAGCGGTCATATCAACCCCTGTGATCCAACTCACAATACATCTAATCTAGTCAGGCCGGTGATCATACATAGAGCTATCTTAGGGTCTCTGGAAAGAATGATTGCCATATTGACCGAGAATTATGCTGGAAAATGGTATTTACTACATTATTATGTTGAGGCTATATTGTAGACGCATTCATTGTTATCTGAGATGCATCGATACTGGATATGGGTCAAATATGTATCAGTATCGCCGATACTTTCAATTTTAATTGATGTCGTGGTCGGTACTCAAACATGATAATTAACCTTCATAGATTTAAACAAAAATTAAGTCTACATTATTATGCAACTAATTTTATAAAAAATCAGATAAGAATTTCTAAACCGATAAAAAGGATCGAAAGAAGATGACGCTAATCTTTATTTCCTATTTACTTTTAATTTAATTAATTAATCATAAATAAAAAAAGGATAATATTATAAATTATATCTTTTTTTTCAATATACTACATTATTTTGTACATCGATCAATACTATGTTAGTGTCGATGATATCGGTTAAAAGTGTGGTATCAGTGCATCTCTGGTTCTAGTCTTGGCTTATAAGTTTTTTTCTTATTCTAAATGTGCCATAATTTTAAAATGTAATGTTTTTTTTGCAAACATCACAAGGCCGTTTTGGTTATCTCCAAACCAAATAGCCGTGTTACCAGTAGGGGTAAATTTTGATTCATATGCCTTGGAAGTCACGAAAACGCTCAAACAACAAGGATTTATAGCGAATGCGGAATCCGATTCTAGCGAAACGCTAAACAAAAAGATTAGGAATGCCCAACTTGAGCTATATAATTTTATTTTAGGTTTAAATATGTATTTATTATATTACTAAAATAATTTTAAAGATATATCATGGTAGATTTTCTTACAAACACCCTTAATAGGGTCATTAGTCACGTCATTAGGGAGAGGCAAAGAACACGTTCAGCAGTTAGCAACCCTTAATTTATTTGTACACACTAGATATTCTCTCCAGAGATGTCACCTAGTAAGTTTAATATAAAAATAAGTTAATAATTCTTATAGAAAATCTGAAAGGATATTAAATATTAATTATTGGTCTATACACATCTGCACAGGAGAAAATAATTGGTAGACAACAGCCCCAAATTTTACTTCTAAAACACCTTCCTCGTTAATGTAGGCACAGGATCTCATGAGAGAACTCTAAAATTTTGGTTCTCTCGTTTACTATTTGTGACATATTTGATACCTGTAAAAGTATTGGCAGATCAACGATATCGGTGCTTTTGTTTAAAAAAATAATTTTTAAAAATTAATAATTAGAGGGACTTTTGGGAAATATTTTTAAAAGCTTAGAAAACTTGAGTCTCTAAAAAAAGTGATTTTCTGCACTCCTCCATATTTTAACTCAAGCACATACCTCTTATTTTTTTTCTTATCCTTCTGGCTATCTCCTTTTTTAAGCATTGTTTACACATAACCAATATCTTTGGCATAAGTCACCTTAGTAATCGGTTGCCATTGATCATCTTAACTAAATGCCCTACTTTACAACTTGTTACTCATTTATCTAACAAGAACCCGGCAGCCTTTTTAAAGAAAATATAATTGCCTCAATCTTCTTGCTACACCTCTAACTTTCTGATTTATACCTAGCTATTCTTCTAAGGAGTATAGGCTATGAGTTGGAGCAATGGAAATAAACCATCGGTCTGTCTTAATTACTAACTTCCAATATAACCTAAAAAAAAATTTTAAGTTGGCTAGAATTGAATATATGAGCAAAAAGTAATTAACCCTTATAAATCTAATTGAGCAAGGAATATGATTAGTAGTTCGTTATTTAAATGGTATTTATGATATGCTTTATAAGTTTCATGGTCTAAATATTCGGAATGTTCATTGGATTTTTTTTTAATTATAAGGTTTTCAATTTGATTGGCTAAATCAGGAATCAATATTCCAATAATTTTTTAAATTATTCTATTTTATTCGTATTTACGAATACGAATAACAAATTTATTCGAATCGAATAAGGAAAATTTATTCGTCAAATAATTATTATTAGATCGACTTATTTATAATTATTCATAAATATTTTATTTAACATGTTCTTTGCTTTGCGAACCTTATTTTTTAATTTATTTTCGCATTTATAAATCATTTTTTAAAATTCTAATCCAGTTTTTGAAAATATTTTTAAAGAATTCAATTTTCGAATCAACTATAAACAAATCTAAATGTTTTTATTTTTCGCACAAATTACTTGATTCATACGAATAATACAATTATTCGATTAGAAAATATGAATCGAATGCAAATAATCTAAGTATTTGATTCAATAAGTATAATATATGAAATTGACCCGATAACCGGCAATATAGGTATCGGCCAAATAGTTTTTATGCTTGTTTATAAAAAAAAATTTTTACTAAAAATATCTAGTCGTAGGTGAAAAAGAATTGTCAAACAAAACTATAAACGTTCGCACAAGAGATAACAAAATACTGGGTGAAATGACTATGGAAACCTTTATACAAGGGATACACAAGCTGGTGGCTACAAAAAGTTCTGAAAATGAAATATCTCCATAATATCGAGGTATTTCAATACCTCAAATTTAAAATTTTAGCAAATATTCACAAATACGCTTAACCGAAGGCTGTAATACAATTGATCACTGTACTTTCATATATAATCTTCATCGATGGTCAATATTGGGGAAAACAATTCAACATTTTTGTTGGCCTTTTAATTTTTTTTAAAAATCATGATATATCGAATTGTCACACTGCAAACACCTATACAGGAATCTATAATGTTATTAAATATTTTTTATATAAATTCACTAGATTCCTAATCGATTTATACTTATCCACTATAAGTTTTTAAACAACTCTTTTATCAAGCCAGGGCATTTGCGTTTTGTTATTATCTATTTTATATATTTTATTTGAATGGAAATTTAATAAATGGTTTTTGCATATTCAAGATTCACCAATCTTAAACATATTTCGAATATTAATGCGTGTTTTTTTATTAATATTAAAAAACACAAATTTTATCTTATTTCCATATACAAAACGGTCATATAATATATAAATATTGATAAGAATCGAAGCTTTTAAAAAAGTCAGTCTAGTATATCTAAGTTTAAAAATTTTTTTCTCTCAATAATATAATTAAACTTAACTCATTTTACAATAAATAAATCGTTACAAATATTTTTTTGAGTCTTAAATAAAAGCTCGTAAATCAATATGTCTTTAATATAAATATTAAATCACAGAAATTTCGGTAAATTATGTGTTTTCAACACGCTTTTTTGATATACTGTCCTTTGGGGCTATATTTTGTTCTATATAAGGGAGTGAGATTTATAGAAAAATTTGACTTAGAAAGGCTGTTTGACGATATGTTACGAAAATAATCACAAAATATATGATTAGCGAGTAATTATTTTTAAACGATGTTATAGCTGAAGATTGACTGGGCTTCCGAATTTGCTTCTTTTCTTTATAATCTGTAATAATAAATAGAATAAAATAATTCGAGATGATAAAAAAAAAGAATTACTACATAAAATTTTTTAATTTATTTTCAAGTTATAGAATTCTTAAGGTGTGGAGTGTCCAATCTTAAAATTTTATTTTTGAAAAAATTAATTTATTGAAATTTACAAATTGAGTTTGAAGCGAAAATTACTTATTTTTTTGAAAATTTTTTTGATTTTGTACGTATTCTTAATTTAAATTTTGTTCACCGATTAGTAATATTCTTTAAAAATAGATATAAATCTACCGTGATCAGAATAACTTCTTGAACCTTCAGGGCCTTCCTTATCGATTCTCTTTTCTTCATTCCTTCTGGTTTGTTCCATCAAGGTTTTCCTAAAACTATCGTTGGAAAAGGTTAAGTGACTAATCATTCCAATATCCCCACTGCCATCCTCTTTGTACTTATATCCGCTCCCAATTACATTGTTATCTTCGTCGTCTACTACTTTAGTAGTTTTTTTAGCGGGTTTTGTGTTTATTTTTATTTTGGATTCCAATAATTGTTGACCCATTATTGTATTGTCATCCTTTTCTCTCTTGCCAGATCCTTCCACCCCTTCCAAATCTACATTCATTCCTTCACCATATGAATTGTATAAATTTTGCCCATTGTCTACCAATTGACTTATGGGGTGATGGTGATCTATATTAATCAATACTTTTTTAGGTTTGTTATTATAGGAAGATAATGTTGAGATTATATAGTTAAATGTAGTGTTAAAGTTGTAGAGACTCATTTGAGAAATTTTATCGGTTTTGGCTAATAAGAGGGAACGAGATGATAAAGTCAATTTCTGAATGTTCTAAAAAAACAAAAAATAGATAGAAATAAATTAAATTTCATAAAAAATATTTTCTCACAATTATTAATTAATAACGGAAAGTTAAACTCTTGAGTTGTTACATATAAGATAATATCAATAAGGTATGATTTCATAAATTAAAAATTCGTCGAAAATCAAAAATCCTAAATTTACTAAAATGGCTTAGATTATAAAATTTAGTGCATCCAAGCATTTATACTTTATGCGATTAAACTCATTTCGTAAATTTCAATAATTTTAAAAAAAGTATAATTTTGACTTTTATCGGCCCTTTGTGTCTTGTGAATTATATGTTTTAAAAAAACATTAATATGCTTCAATATAAGATTGCAAATAGATATATCTTAACCAATCAATAAAAATTACGGATAAAAGCCCTGCATTATAGGATTATATATTAACCCGGATTAATAAGGGTGAACCTATGCTTTGAATCAGAGACCTTCATGGACCTAATTTTTTGACCAAGCCTGCAATAGAAATTTTTTTAGGCTCAGGTCAAGCCCGTATATAATATTTAAAAAAATCCCAAGCCCATAATAAGCTTTAAATAAATTTCCCAAGCCAGTCATATCCAAAAATTTATTGTATTAAGTCAATCATTTTGTTTACAATACTGAAATTTATTATTATTAGAAGAAAAAATTAGCAATATTTCTTTAAGTTAGCAACTTTTTTAAATAAGCGAAATTTATATTTAATAATTTTAGGCCCAAGCCCTGTCCATTAAAAAACTTAGGCCCGACGTCTTTGATTTGAATTAGGTCTGCTGCTAGTTTGATTAATCAAAAATAAACCTATGAAAAAATTTCTTTACGAGATTAAGAAAAAAATAACTGGAGACAAAAGTTGAAAAATTTTGACGTATACAATAAATATGGTATCTATTATAATGTTTCACTTTATATACAATATCTGCTGTTTCAATTTTTTATAATTCCAAGATTTATTGATTTTCTTACATTTTTCTTTTATATTTATTCATTTATATACTTATGTTTAAACTTTCCTGGGCTGGTCAGCCCTTTCTTAAATCTCTGGGTCATGTATAACAGAGGGTGTTATATATAGAATCTTAGAGGAGAGGGATTTAATTTTATATGAATTTTTTATTTAAATGGCTTGTACTCCTCCCATCCTGCACACATAAAATTTCTTTATAACAAATTTTGAAATTAATATTCTACCATGAATAATATTTAAAAAAGTAGAGGGTGTTTTTACCAGATACGAACCAACAAATGGATTTAACATCAAATTAATGTTTTTTAAATTTATGATATAAGGAAATACTTAATAGTGAGGTAGTTATATGATATGTGACTTATAAATAAATTAATGGGTTTTTTAAAGTATCGAATAAAATATACAAACATTTTTGGGATATGGGTGTTAGTCCCAAGAGATTTAGCGGACAGCTTCATATTATGAAGTAATTTCATGGGGGGGGGGGGGTAAACGTATCATTGGCTCAGGGGGTTCTAGAGAGCCCTGATAAATCTTTAAAAATTATTGTTAAACTCTTCTATTTCGTTCCAAACAAATCTCAGGCAAATTCGGGTTCAGAAGCGAAGATTTTACTTGCTTGTAATGTTAGGAGTCAGCCTTAAAATTGGGTTATTTTACCTTAATTGCTATTGATATTAAAAAATAATATAATTTATTTTTTTTCGGACGGCGATTTTTTTAAAATTCTACAGGACTAATAAAAATATTAATCTATGGCTAATTTTTTAACGCGAAGATTAATGAAAGAAAACTATTAATTACCTCGATTTCAGTACGAAATTTGCGTAAATTAAGATTAGGAAACGATTGTTGTCTGTCGATCTCATCATTTGATTCCATTATTTCTGGATTATTTTTTAACGCTTTAGAACCAAATTTGACGATATTTTTTGAATACCTAATTTTTGATAATGATATTTTTTAAAATCAAATAAATTTTTCTCTCTAGATTTCTTACTCTCTTTTCTTCCTCGCATTTTTATGATAACAAATTAGCCATTGGAAGGCTGTTAGTAGTCACTTTATAGAGGTTTTTATAATACTTTTATGTCAGAAATCAATATTTTATTGAATAGTGAAGCAATACCAACGAGGATGCGTAGAATATTTTTCACCTTATCCTACCTGTAGGAAGATAATCATTTTCCCGATCAGACCAACCCCAAATTTAAAATTGAATTTCCCGACCCAACTCTGGGTTGAGTTTTTAGCTTTGGTCGGGGTTTTTGGCCCTCTAGTACCCCTGTTAAACCATATCAAATTATTTATATTAATTTTTTTAAAATTCCATTTATTTCAAATAAATTTAACTATCATTGTTTTGTTTAATAATAATTCAATACCTTCCAACCAAATCACCATCCCAACAATTTTTGTTAGACGCGCTGACAGATGTGTCTTGACTACATATCATATCAGGTATATTGGAAAATATTACGTCACTTTTACCAATGCTCACTGAAGCTTTCCATTTATTATTATCGTCTAGGTCATCTATCAGCTCCCTCACTAAAGAATCATAATTTGCTTCTAGATTACGCTCGCTAAAATTCAATTTTGTTGTCATATTGAAATTAAGATTGATTGAGGGGAAAATTTTGGATTCGAAAGTGGGTTGTCCACATAACTTTGTAATCTTATTAATAAAATTGAAAGAATGAAAAAAAAATTGTTTAAAATGTCTGCTCCACGTAAAAACAGGACGCCCATTTTTAAAGTTTTTGGGTAATATTTTAAATAGTATTCCCTTCCCGTTTAAACATTTTTCTAAGCCTTTGAGAAACTTTATAAACAAGTTAAATACTGCAAATATTAATATATTCATCTTAGCGTCAAAAGAGGATACAATAATAATAGGGGTCATCCAAGACTCTCAACGTATAAGATACAATAGCGCCATTGAAATTACAAGTGTAATTTTATAGCCAACCTAAATAGATAGTATTCAATTTATATTTTAGTCATCAGAAATGGAGGAGGGTTTAAGCTTCATTAACTGGGGTGGGGGTTGAAGGATATGGACCACTAATCAGTATTAAATTATAAATTCAACGTACACTCTAGAATATCCTAACATTATAATTGAAATTCGCTTATTATTATAATATATTGGATTATTGTATGTACTCATCCAAAATTTTTTTTAGGTACTTTTATTGTTAAGTTTTAAAAATAGGGGGGGGGGGGTATTTAAAATTCACATCCATATTGTAAAAACCGTCTTTTATCGATTTTGATTTTTAAACGAATATAACATAAAAAAAATAAAAATAATGGCGAAAAATTAAAAATAAATACAAAACATTTTGAAAAGTTTTAATGTAAGTTGTTCGGATTATTTTTTCAGAATTATCTTCCTTTTTATTATGAGAAACTCGTTAAAAAAAATTATTGGGTAAAAAAAAAGGAAAAAGAAAATAAATGAATTATCCCATTATAAAACCATTCACAAGGAGGGATTATGAACAAATTTATAATACACTCAAAAATTAGGTTTTTTTTATTTAAGAGGATAAAAAAATAATAAAATATTAGTTTAAGTACAAATACGAATTTAGTATTTTGTAAACCTATAAATAAATATAGCCATGACTTTTAAATAAATATAAGATTTCAGGCGAAACTCATAATTAAATATGATCTCATAAGTTAAATAAAAGGTGCCCACCTCTGAGATGGCATTTTGGGCGTTTCACTGAATTTACTACGCCATATTTTACAGTAGTGACTGATACAGGAATATCTTTAAACCCTTTAATAATCAAAAATTTTTTCCAATTTATCCTTTTCATCATTTTTCTAGGGCATTCAAATTTTACAAATCTATTAATTATGCTTAACAAAAAAAATATCACGTTTATTCATATCTCTGTTTTTTTACCAGTGTTTGGAAATAGGTCACGAAACTATCTCCTAAGAAGCAACATCCTCTTGAATTGTTATAAAAACCGAACCCAGAACCTATTTTAAAATTTATAAGAATCAAATTTATCAAAATTTTGCGTGAATCAATTTAGAGGGTTTATTTAGTATTTAAACTTTTCGATTTTTTTAAAATTCTTATTAATAGAGGGAACTGAATCATAGAATTAAAATCCTTTTTTCTTTCCAAGGAAACAGAACCGGTTGAATAACATTTAAAAGTGGAACCCTTTTTTAAAAAAAATCATATTCATAATTTAAAGTCAAAAATATTTTTAAAATCATGAAAATTATTAGGTTATTTATAGGTTTTATTATTACCTCAAATCTTAAAGGTTGTTAAAGCAAAATTTTTAAATCCATTTTTTTTGGCTTTTTTGTATTTTTTTTTATTCCCCTGCACTACTATTATTTTTTTATGGACCTTAAAAGTTAATTATATACTTTTTAATCTCCCCCCCCCCCCCCAATTTTTGGAAAATAATAAAATGTATTTTACAGGATTTTTTTAAAAAAAAATTTATTGTATACAATAAGGTAATAAATGGCAGAGAAACCAATAAATTGACTATTGAAAAAAAAAGAATTGAAAATTGTGGTAGGGTGACACAAAATTAAACCCTTAGATTTCACATAACAAAATTTTAATAAGGAAAAAAAATAATATAAAATTGAATTGTGGATTGATAATAAAAATGTATAACAAAAATAGATAAGGCCGACTGACTACCATAATTCATAACTCTTAAACGGAATTATGCAAATGATACCATACACAATAAAGATAGATTATATAATGTGAAAATAAATATTTTATGGTTAGGAAAGGGGAAATAAATTGAAATTTATATGAATTACATTTTTAGAGTAAGCAAAATTACGAAAAATAAGGGTAGGATAAATCAATATTTTTTTGTAAATGTACATTATAAAAATATGAATTGAAAGAATTAAACCAATATTTTTTTGATGCTTAGAAACAGCCGCCAAATAATTGATAAAAATATGCCAGCAAAGACCCCTTTTTATATTATATTTCTTGGGGTTTTTAAGTGGAAATCGATTTTTTAAACAAACGAAGTAAATAAGGCAAGATTTTTGGATATTCTTTACACACATCATACTTACAATAACGGTAAAGACTAGGGATGGTTTAAGATCAGCGAAATCACATGCCAATAATGTTATTATAATTTTGGTTTGCAAACCTACTAGAAACTGTATAAAATTAGGAAGCATTATCGTTAGTCACTTCCTATAATTTATAACAAATTTAGTTAATATAACATCTGAATAATAAAAAATAGAATTTATATTTAATTTTGAATAAAAAAAAGTGCAGGGGTGGAGGATGGATGACACAAAAAAAATATTGTGACAATGATATAGAAAAATAAAATTTAAGATAATAGAGACAATTTTTTTATTCGTATATTTTTGTTAAACAAAAAATAAAAAAATATTATTTTATTAGCCCAAGGAAGAAGAGTATAAATTTTAAATAAAAAAGAAACTAATAAAAATATCTTTAAAAAAATACTCGTTTTTCTAGTGGTTTCAAAATATTCGAGTGAGCAGACTGTAAAAAAAAATTGTGTGCAATAAATATTAAATTTTAAAATGAAAATAATGATGTATCTTTTCGTTAATAGTAATAAATATTGAATAGCCTATAAGTGGCTAAATAATATATTTAATTATATAGATAATAAATATAAAAAGTATGTAAAATACACATAAAAAATTATTAATACAATAAGACGTGTTTTGAAATGTAAACGGGGTACAATAAAATAGACTTAATACTTTGTTTCATAATTAAATAAATGTATAATTATTTTTAAAATGCAAATGTTTATAAAAACTGATTGTGTATAGGAAATTTGGATAGAAAGTATTGAAAGGTTCATATAGTCGAAATATGCAATTTTCGGTCGAATCCGTTGGGTCAAAATATGCAATTTCTGATCAAACCCAAACCTCCCCCTGGTTAATTTCACGTAAATCACTCGTTATATGAAAATTGAATTTCTTATATGAAATTTTTAATGGACAATAAACGATCAAGTTTTCTTCATTCATCGAAATTGCCTTCTAAGGACCGTTATATTTCATAATATGAAAATTTTCATCAATAAATGTTTCACTTATATTAAAAATATTTTGGTAAACTATAATTTGATAATTTCCCCATTTTAACTTTTTTCAATAATTTTTACTGCATTAATTTTTTTCTGCTTTTATAAATTCTTCAAAAAAAAGAACCACGAGCAATGAAAAGATAAGCAGGATAGATTTAGTTTTTTTTAAAAAAAATGTTAAATTATTCTATAAGACCCTTTCAAAGCAAAGTGTATAAAGATTCAGTCCGAACTGAAAGAGGAACTTCCTTGAAACCAATATTTATTCATCAGACTGGGATCATCGAAATCTTAATTTAAAAAATCCGGATAGGGTTTGAAAAAAATATATACTAAACTGGTGACTCTAGTCGGAAGACTACGATCTAACTAGAATTTCAATATCAAATATCAATTGCTAATAAAAATTAATTAGAGATATCAATCTAAGTAATAATGATAGGTAATATATTTAGTTTACATTGAAACTTAGACTAGGCTTGACTTGCAAAGCTTTCGTAATAATGCGTCTAATCTTGTCTTCGAATGATTCAATCGGTGAGCGTTTTTTCAAAGTGGATAATAATTTTATTTTGTTTTTATTTAAAACCGTTTTAAGTTGACGCAAATAATCGTTCCAAACTACGCCCATCTTCTCTAAGTAAGGCAGACATCCACGGGCCACGTTCCCGCATAGACCCCTACATATAGGTGTCGTAGATATATCGTTGTTACTCAAGTAATTATCGAATTGTAAATAAGGATTGGAACTGCTTTTATTTTCTTTTTCATTATAACCATCGGCATTCTCTTCGTCTATATCTAAAGCGCAAGATTGGCAATAGTACATTTTGGTCAAAGCCCATGCGCAATTGTGAGATAAATCATTAAAGCCACCTATGCTATTGTTACTTTCAACGTTGCCTTGAATAGAGTCTTTGGAAGTAGGATTTAAGAAAGACTGCAAGAAAATTATACCCAAACTCAGAGATCTAACTAGAATATTAATGGAGTTAGCGTGATTGACCCAAGTGAATGGATCCTTAAGTAGCAGATTTATACTGCCTTCCGTTTTACTTTTATCAAAATTTGATAAAGGTCTAGTACTGTGACTGCCGAAGGCACTTTTATTACCATTTAATATATCGGGGTTATCAGTTAGAGAACGGATCAAACAGTCCTTATACTGCTGGGAGTAGGGGTTGGTGGAAGGTAGGCTACGCTGAGACATGACATATCTATAAATGTCGGGAAATATCAATATCGAGATCTCAGATTGTTGCGAGATCATATCATTTTGAGAATTGAGCAAAACATTCGTTAAGTTATCTAGTAAATTCAGTACCGAGGCTATCAATGAGTCGTCGAAATCGGGTTTCAAAGTTTTTGTGATTCTGAGTTTAAAGTTGATGATTTGAATTGTTAGTATTTCTGGAAGTAAAGTAATTAAAAAAATAAAATAAAATAACAATTACTCGAGTAAATTTTTTAATAAATCTCTAATATGATCTTAAATTTTTTATCCTAAAGATAATATTTTTAAACATAAAAATGTTGTTGTACCTGGCTAATTATCAAAATGGAGCATCGTTCCTTTTTAAAAAAAATTCAACATCAAACTTTGATTTTTTTTAACCATCAAATTTTACATTATTAAAAAAGATGCTAATATTTATATTATAATATATTTTAAAACTGTTCAATTCTTTCCATGACAAAAAAAAAGAAAATGCTTAAAATAATATATTAAAATATTGATTAAATAAAGCTATAGAATATAAAAAAAAATCATATATCTTTTGCATGAAATTATTCTCCTTTAAATAAGCTTTCTTTTAATATTTCCTCGAATCTTAATTTTTTTTTGAATTATAAAAAGGTATTTATGTAAAGACTAATTTAACCCTTCCATGTCTGTTAAAATATAACGCATTATTTTATTTGAAAATTTTTTTTCATTAAATCTTCATATATACTCTATTGTTCCTTTTTTCTTGAAAATAAACTCCGTTACCATAACTAAATATATTTTTCAGAGATCTTAATCCTAACAAATACCGGTTCGGTTGTTCAGATATATATAACAAGGTTTGGGTCGTAAAAAATAATAATATGGGTTTGATTTTCTAGTCTCAGTCCTGCTTTCATTATAAACTTCAGTGACAGCTCAGCTGGAAAGCGATGATGAGCGATCACTGCATAATTCCTACAGTCAAATTAGGGGGAGGGTCTGTTATGATGTGGGAGTGCTTTGGTGCCGGGGCAACCGGCGACATTGTCAAAATTAAAGGAATCTTTATCAAGGAGGGATACCGGCAAATCATTGAGGACCATGTGAATTCATCAGGAAAGTGTTTGATTGGGAATATATCGGGTCTCAGGTAGTCGAGCCTCCTTTCATTATTAAAGGACAGATGCTTAGTGAACTTTAAGATTTTTCACTTAAAAATTACATTAAATTTTATTAACCAATAATAATTTATACTTTACTATATAACAATAAAAGATAGGAACCTATCGCCTATGATAGCACGCCTAAATCATTTAATATTACATAAATTATTGTAAAAAACTGGTATTTCATTCATTTTTATGAATTATCTATTATTTTCAAGATAAATAAAGGCTCAATATCAGCATGGATTTTTCGTTACAATAATAAAATCCTTATTAGCAAGTGTTTTGACATAGACAAAGAAGAAACCTTCATGGGCGGGCAGACCAGTTGTACTCGGCCATAATATAATATTTTCTAGCAGGCCTGAGTATTTGAAATTTATTAATGGGCTTGGGCCTAATTCTTTTTTATTTAAATTAAGCTTATTTAAAACAGTTTCTAACTTAAAAAATATCATAATTTTTTTTTCATTCTAATAAAAAATTTCAGTATTTTAAACAAAATGATTGCCTAAATACACTTTAATATTTATTTCCTTTTAATACAATAAATTATATTTTTGGATATGAACTTCGGAAAATTTTTTGAAACCAATTATGGGTTTAGGAATCTTTTCAATATCAAATATGGGCCGGGCCTTCGCCTAAAACTTTTACTGTGGGCCTGAGCCGTGCTTCATAAAAATTAAGGCCCATAAATGACTCTGAGACAAAGTCGAAGCATATAAAGAAGTAACTCAGAATAATTTAAAAATCATAATCCAATATATCGAAAAAAGATATGATTTTAATTATAATAGATATAAATATTTTAAAGTTATGACATTGAAAGATACAATCAAGTTCTAACATTTTGAAAAAATTGTAGATAGCTTTAATCTTAACAATGTAAACAGCAATGATATGTTTGTAAAATTTGCTATATACTCCAAATTCATCAACAAAACTGAGAATTTTTCAGATTTAACTTTAATCAAGTAATAAACTTAGAAAAAAAATGTAATTATATATTTTCAATTCTCCCTTTAAATGCCGCCTCAAAGATAATCTTTAGTTTGATAAATATTCTTGACAAAAATATCGTTCTTCGCTTTCATTCGAGGTATTAGAAACTGAATAGATGGTAAAGCAAAATTTTGACATGAAGAAGAGTTGGCAAATTTATTTCCAAAGATAAGAAACTTTTTAATAAAAATAGATGACAAATATGTAGAGATTTATATTAATTTATTTTTATATTTTGAATTGTGATTGGGTTTATCCTGCGTAATCCTTTTTTTAAAACCATATTAATCATTGAAAATCCTGCAAACTCAATTTTAAAATATGGCAGGTCTAACTAATCTCAATTCTATTAAATATATTATTCAAACTTTTTAGCAAACCCTAAGCTAAGATCAAAAGTATTTACTATATTAACTATTTGTTAAGTTTTGACTTGTAAGAAAATAAAGTGTTTTATTTAAAACTCTATTATACGCCACTTCAAAAAAAATGACAATATATTTTTTCCAAAAAAACAAGTTGATTAAATTTTTTTTTAAAAATACACAAATAAAATAAATAGCAAATCAAATTTATGGAAAAATAAAACATATATTATAAATACTTCAAACATTCTTTTCAAATTTAATTAGTTCTAAAATGGACTGGAGTAAATGTTATAATTAAAGATAATACCTTTTAATTTTCAATGTAATTACAACAAAATCTTTTCTTTAGGTTTTAGCTCTTTATTACCAAAGGAATGAATTATTAAAATAAGCATTTACCTCAAATAAAAAGTATCCCACCTTAACATCTTTGATTTATTAGTAATAATAATGTATGAATTATAGTTAGCTATGTATGATAATTATTAATATTCTCCTTTATTTTGTTGAAAAAGTTACCCTTTTCATAGTTAAGCCTTTTATAATATATTACCTTAATTGTAAAGCCTTTTTTTTGCTTTGTTTTAATTATTTTCTTTATTACGCGATTATAATGATTTTTTTTAATTTAAAAAATACAAAGTAACTTCTTTTTAACAAAGAAAAAATAAGGGGTGATGTAATACTCATAATTAACCCATTATAATTATTAGTTGTTAGAAGAAGAAGGAAAATAAATAGTTATTTATAAAAAATATTATTGTGTAACAATATAATAATATCAAATATATGTTAAATGAAATGCTTTTATAGTCTATCTATCATAAGATTAATAAAATATAATTTTCTCTGGTGATCTTCTTTTAGTCATTTTAAATCTGACTGAATAAGATTATTAAAAAGGGAAAATTTTTAATTTTCTCTCTTTTAGAATTTCTAATTCATCAAATATATAGAGAAAAAAAATTAATAAATTATAATCTCTTAAAGGGAATAGGCTTCTTTTTTTTAAAAAAAAACATTTAATAGTTTTATTTATGCTATAAAACGACCACTTCAATCTTGATTTTAAAGAGTAATATAAGATTTGCTCCATTTATTTGTTTTCTAGTTATATTTATACGTATAATGGGGAAGGGGGGGGGGGGGGGTTCAAAAAAAATATATAACAATTAATCAGTTGGAAAATAATATAATTGTTTAATATTCATTTTAGTGCTCAATTTTCCTTTAAATTTTTCTTACGAAATAGCGCCAAAATTAACAATATTTAACCGGGCCGAGTAAAAATGAAAAAAATCTAGTATGGGTTGAAACCATTTTTTTGAACTCTGAAGGTGTGGACTGTGAATATGTATAAAACTTTTCAAATTTTATCATAACGAAAGAGAAGCCGATGGTCAAAATAAGGAGGTGATCACCTGTAGGTTTTATGATATTTGTCTTTTCAATTTTTATTACAAGTTTCTGCCCAAAGGCAAAAAAAAATGTCATAGATAGGAGCAAAATTTTCTTAACCCCTAGATATTCAGCTTTCGGTGAATTTCTCCCCAAAAAATTTTTAGATTTCACATTAAAAAAAAACTCCAGAACACCTGGCAATTACTATTTAAAATGAGTATCAATTTTCCACAGAAAATTTCGTGTTCTTTTTAAATAATAATGTTAAATTTTACATAAAAAATATGAGGTAAAAAAAATAATGGTTAAAAGTTGTACCGTAAATGTCAATTTGATCATTGACACATTATTCAATAAATCCGAAAGCTAACTTGAGGGGGAAGGGGAGGGTGAGAATTCATCTTAGGCATCGAAAATAAATATTTAATTTAATTTATTCTTTACAAAATGATTTTTGACATTTTGATTTTTGATCCCATTTCATACAATTTAATTTTACTTTTGCAAAAAAGGAAAAAAAAAATTTCTCCATTTGTCTAGCCAGGGCCTTTAATTGTATATAAATGAAAGCAGCCAAAAAAATTAACCCGTTCATCCCTAATTTATCAATGTGAATGTTGCGCTTAAGTTTTTATAAAATTTTTATTGTATTAAATTATTATATTTGGCTTAAGTTCTGCAAGGCAGAATTAACTTATTTACAAATCTATTATTGGCAAGCCCTTCTACACTCCCCCGCCCCTTCCTAAATAACAATATAATGCATTACCTAAAAAAAGAAGAAGGAAATTTAAATCAATTGACAAAAAAATAACTCCTTTAGATTCCTTTTCCGCTTTTATTTTATAATTTCAATGACGATCTTGCGTCATACCCCTCCTCCCTTTCGCCGTGGTAGAAGTGCCTGATTAAGGGTTCATCGATATAATAAATTTCGTTAAGTTAACTGACTTAGATACTTAAAATTATTTTTTGCCGGATAAATCTGTCAGATAGTAAATATTTTAGAAAATTCTCATATATATAATAGCCATGTATAATGTTTTTTTAGGAAAAATAACTTAATATATTAAAAATAGTATTAATGAGAAATTCAAAACATAGCCTTTTTGGTTTTGGGGATTTTTTTAAAAAACGGGTTCTATCGCTTTTTATAATAAAAAATATTTTAGGGTTCTATCGCTTTTTATTAGTGTTGTTAAACGGCTCGTTTTGAGCCGATTTTTAAAAACGGCTAACTCAATATTTTAGCCAGAAAAATATTGCCTAAGCCTCAAGATTTCGAAAATATATGTCTATACATTTGTTCCTTCTATGAGCAAAATCTTCAGGCTTGGGTAATATTTTTATGGATGAGGTATTGAGTTAGCCGTTTTTAAAAATCGGCTCAAAACGAGCCGTTTAACAACACTACTTTTTATAATAAAAAATATTTTAGGGTTCTATCGCTTTTTATAATAAAAAATATTTTAAATACATAATTTTAAGTGTGGTATAACGAATAGTCCAATAAACAAAAAAAACCCAAAAATTGATCATTTTGACTTAAATACTAGATTAAAAAAAAATTCCCATGCTACTATTTAAATGCCCCAATCTAAGATAAACGATAAATTGAATGTATGTTTATATTATATTGATATCAATATTTAATTAAATATTTCAAAATTGAATAGCGGTAATAAAAGATGAATCTAATTGATTTTCCAATTATTATAATTATTTTAAAGAAGTTCAATGTTTTCTTTAATATTATTATAAATTCTATGGTATAATTCTGTTAATTTTTATGTGGGAGGCTTTGATTTGTAAAATCAAAGTTCTTAATTTTTTTAAATAAATAAAAATCCTTTGTATATTCTCATAATTTAAAAAATTAAATGTATTATTTTATTTTCATTCATAAACTACTTTTAAGCAAATTGTCTAATTTAAACGCAAGCAGATTTTTTTAATACACATTATATTGATTCATAATAATAACATAATAATAACATAATAATATGGAAATTTAAATTCTTTTCTTTTATATATAAAATAAAACTCCAAAATAAAATTGATAATATTTTAATCTATAATTGCTCTGATCGTATAATATGATGTATTATAAATAAAATGTAAATATTCTACGTCCATTCATTTTTAAAACTAAAAAAAATCCGGTTTCATGTGTTTGGCAAATTTTGTGCGCGCGCTATTAATTAGCTAATAGTAGTATTGTTAAACGGCTCGATTTGAAAAAACGGCTAACTAAGTATTTTATCCAGGAAAATATTATGCAAGCCTGAAGATTTGCTCATACATGACAACAAGGTTTGGACATCTATTAGAGAGATTTCGAGGCTTATGGCAATATCTAATGGCTAAATTGATTTAGCCGTTTTTAAAAAACAGCTCAAATAGCGCATTTAACAACATTAGTTTGGGTTTTAACGAGAATAACCTTTTAACCATTGAGCATAAAGACTTGGCGTGAAGATGTATTTCTATATCTAGTTTCTTACCTATATTCATCTTTTAAAAAACTTTCCTGGTTTGACATATTTCCCAAAAAAAGTTTTTTACCAAGAAATTATAAAAATCATCCTCTAGTTTAGGAATTTAGTAAAATAAATTAAGGCTCATAATCTAAAAATTTGTATCATTTTCCTTAAAGTAATAGCTATAAAATAAAATTTCTCGGTCATAGCTTAACTATAAGTAGTCACACAATAACGATTTATGTAATATATATAACCTTGGAGTAAAGTTGTTATGGATAAAACATATAAAATGTCCCAGCTATGAAAATATAATTTTAAAATATTAACGTCTACACCATAAAAGATATTCTTGACCAAAAAGGAACATTTATAAATAGTTTTTGTTATTTGGAAAAATAAAATTAATCGCAAAGGGGAAGAATAATTATAATTTGTACGATGTGCCTCAAATGGGCTCAAAATGTGATATTTTTAATAAATTTTTTAGATTCCCGCATTGTATTGATTAGTTTATACTTAAATGAGATGAATAGATATCAAAATTGCAATATTTTTGTTCAATAAAACTAGGGGTGTACCCATACCACTTTTTGGAGGCCGATCCGATCCGATATTTCAAATATTAAATTGATATCGGCCGATAACCGATCCGATATCATATCTAATTTTGTATTCTGTAAAGATACCGGTTTTAATTTTTAATATACTTTTTATTAGTAAAACATCTATAATTTTACTATACCATAACATATGTCATTTAAATAATGATCAGTTATAGTTTATATTCAATTCAATTGCTATTATTTATATAATAAGATGATATTGCTAATATAATAAAATGAATTTATATTTAAAAAAAAGTAATAACATTCTATTTACATAATTAGTAATAAAAAATATATTATAAAATTTGAAATTATTTAAAATTAATATATCTAAGATTTCTTTTTAGAAATACCAAAATTTCCAATTTATCAGAGATCGGTCTGCGGTGATGGGGACTGTTAATATCACTAGCATCACTAAAAACAGATTCTGAAGAGATTAATGAACACTTTTTTAAACAGAATGCGAAAAAAAATAACTATATTGCAGAATGTTTATTAACTAATTATTACTATTAAAAATTAAACAAAAAATTTCGATTTTATTTATAAATATTAATGGTTTTTTAGATATAACTTTTTTTAAATTTTGTTAAAAGCGCCATTTTATATCGGATCGGATAGAAAAATTTTATAATATTTGCCGATAACCGATATTTTAAAATGGGCGAAATATCGGCCCGATCCGATATAAAATATCGGCCCGATCCGATATAAAATATCGGTACATTGCTTAATAAAACAATAAAGTTATGTTCAATTTATTATAACCATTTTAACTTGGGTATGGGATAAATTATCGAAAATGGCACACTTTACATAATTAATCATAGCTCTTAACTTAAAGTATTATAAGTAGAAAAGAGCTACACTCTTTTTTATTTTGTAGATGAGAGATATAGCTACTTATAAAATCTATAATTTTTTCTATTTTATTTTTGTTTCAAAATTTTATGGTAAATATCAGAGTTGTTAAAGTAGCACGCTAACTTTTTTGGTAGCTATAGCTAATAGCGGCTACTTTTTTTGTAATTATTTAATTTTTTAGCGCGCTACTTTTTTTGAAAGTAGCTAAGTAGCCACGCTACTTTTAAAAAATATAAAGAAGGTAAGCATAAACATGAAAATTTAAATATAATATCATAATTAATTATAATTTTTATGATTTATTATTTAATTTTAAAATTAAAATATAATTTCAACTTGTAATTTATATTTTCATTTGTATTATAAACTTAAATCACTTGAATAATTTAAAATGTCAACGCCTATGGATATCCAAATCGTTGAAAGTGATTCAGACAATGATATTAATGAAATGGAAGATACCAGGGAAGAAAATGTTCTTAATAACTATAATACAAATTTCCCATTCCCTAGATTTGAAATTTTTTTAAAATAAATATATAACCAAAACTGGTTTCAAATTTATTTGTTTAAAATGTAAAAAAAATATTTCCTCAAATCAATCCACTAGCTATAACCTCAAGAAACACCTAAAGGTAAATTGTCATTTTTACATTCTAATAATATTTATTTTATAAGACTGTTCATGAGTTTTAAGGAAATGGAGAAACATCTAAATAATTTTGGTATAGGCGACTCTACATCCAAAAAGACTAATTCAATTCAAACCAAATTTATTAATAATGCAAATGACAATATTTCTCAGAAATTGGCTGATAAAGTTATTGTTGATTTTATAATTTATACAGTTCAGCCAGTCCTTAGTTGATAATCCATCATTTACCATGAGATTAAAACTCTATCCCCTGGTACAAAAATTTTATGCCGCCAGACACTAATGAATAAAATAGCAGATAACTTTAAAATGATGATAGTAGAGTTATCAGAGATATCATATATATGTACCACGGGAGATAGTTGAACACATAACAGAAGGTAAAAACTTATTTATATTTATAAATTGATCTTATTAAATATTTTTGAGCTTATTTGGGAATCACAGGCCATCGGCTAGACCCTAGAACTTTAAAAAGAAGATCTATGGCATTAGCCCTTAAAATAATAATAAGATGCCAGACATACGATGTACTTGCAAATAAAATTATTGATAATCTATCTTATATTAAAAATATGTATAAGATTAAATACGTCCTTACCTTCAAATGCTAGTATCGAAAGATTATTTAATAAGGCAAAACTTATACTTTCTGATCGTTGCTCTAGACTTGGGGATGATAATATTGAAATGATTTTATTATTAAAATGCAACAAATTACCATAAATATTTATTTTTATTACATAAATTTTTTTATAATCAAACCAATTATATTTTAATATTTATAAATGTTGATTTTTATATATTTACTATACAATAACATTATAAGCAAAAAATAAAAAATTTGTTTGTAAATTTTTTTTATAAAAAGTAGCTTAAAAGGTAGCTAAAGCTACTTTTAAAAAATAGTAGCTAATAGCGAGCTACTTTTTTTGACAAATAGTGATAGCGGTAGCGCGCTGCTTTTTTTAACAAATAGCAATAGCGGTAGCGCGCTACTTTTAAAAGTAGCGTTTAACAACTCTGGTAAATATTCAAAATACCAGTCGTTTTACTCCCCCCTCTCTCCCCTAATTTGTTTCATGGTAATACAATCGTTTGGTATAAGTATAAATAATAACCAATAAATAAAACCCTGCCCCGCATAGGATCCATTTCAAGCTAGGCCCGATACAAAATATTTTTTATTCGATAGATTATACTATTTTTTCTGATCTCTATTTTTAGAAATATGTTGGAATCCGATCCAAAAAAAGATTACAGAAAGTTATTAATATTTGTGAAAGAATATTGATAAAATGATTTTAAAAAATGTTAATTTTTTTGTCGAGATCCGAGTTTGTTCAAATAAAAATGGTAAAATCAAAGTATGGCCCGACCGAATCTAAGAGAATATCAATCCGAGTTAGACAGGTATGTGTTCATATGGATTGGACAGGTCAGCAAGACTCTAACTAAAAATATAGGCTATTGAAAGAAATATTTTATATTTTATTGATTTTATAGTAACCTGTAATTTTCTGTCTATAAAAGGTTAAGGTTTGAAGCAGGGGATGGAATTGGTTGAAAAGAGACGCTCGGAACCTCTTTATTGCTTGATTCATCAAAACTTCTTCGATATCTTTGGAACAACACGTAGCATTTGGTGTGGAGAACGTCGAGCATATTTTAAGTTCAGAAGCTTATGTAAAAAAAGGAAAATTATCACATAATAATTCAGTAAATAATGAGTCATAATCCTATCTCAAAGGTAAAAAATTAATTGGATATCTTAAAAAAAATATGATCATAATTTTGGGTAAAAAATATTTATTAAGCTATTTTAAAAATATAAATAACACATGATTTTATTAAAATTTTGTGAAAGTTTTGAAACATTTTGATTTTTAAATAAAGATTTTGGACATAATCTATAAAAAAAAATGAACTATTTTTTAAGACAAATTAGTTATTAAACTATTTATATAAAATATAGCAAGTAATTTTAGGCAAATATAAACTAACACAGATTTTGACAAAAATAAATATGGTTTCTTCGATGTCACTCTAAGTGAAATAGGTTCGGTTTTACCAGGTTTACAAATTTTAATAATGTATTCGTCGTCGTCAAATTAAAAAAAATATATTTCGAATGCAATCAGCGTTTTATTAATTTTATTTTAAAAATTACAGGTTTTTAAATGTCTTCATTTTTATTAATATATTTTTTTAGATAATACTCCTCTTCAATCATCATCATTAAACAAGCTTAAGTTATGGATACCTCATCAATCTAATAATTCTTGTATTAAACAAGTTATAGGTGGTATTACTTTTTAACTAACGTAAAAGTGGAACGTTAAACCTTTAACACAAGAATAAAATTCACAGATGATAATAGATTGGATCCAACCGAAGCAGATCGAAGGCTTACAAAGGGAAGCGCTTCCAAAAAATATCTCCTACAATTCAAAATTTTTACTCTGCAACATCGACCCATGTTATGAGAATTTATAAGAAAAAAATCTATAGATAGTCGTTAATAAGATCATGATATAAATGTCTAAAATTTACTAGGTTCTCTATACATACTGAAATACGATTCCGACAAAATCAAAAATAAATGCTATAAATGAATAAAAATGGTTTTACAAATTTGCTAGACCATTACGATAAAAACATGCATATATAATACTATATTAATATTATCTAAAAGTATTATTAGTTATTATATTTTATAATTGTTGAAACGCACGTTTTTCTGTTAGTTGAAAACCGCTAGAGGGGAAGAATCATGCAAATTTACCTTTTTTAATATATTTTTTACAAAAGTAATATGTTGAAAAATTCTTTCATTTTTTTTATCATAGTTGAATAAAGGAAAAGGAATGAAATCTAAAAAAATGGTAACTTACTTGGAGTGAGATCTTTTATTAGAATTTCTTGCCTGGTGCTAATTTTACTTTTATGTGATATGGAGTTCAATAATTTATTCAAACTTTGACACCTTTGATAACTTTTAGTAACATTTTGGTGAGAAAAATTTTTTGAAGTATAGTTGAATATGACTAATAGCAGATAGAATAAATATCTTTTGTCTAACATTTCGTTAAAAAACTAATAATTGAAAATTTATTATAATATAATTTTAAATATAAAAAAAAATTTTTTTTTAGCATCTCTCATTATTTATAAAATAAATAATATTTTATGAAGTGAATTATTTATATAAAATATTTTAAATTCCTCATTTCCATATTAATTTATTTTTATATTCAAAATTTTAAAATATAGACTAGACATCAAAATCATATGAAATTGACGAAAATTGCAATTTCTAAAATGCGATACGGATCTTTTTGGAATAAAAATAATTTTTTATAGTATAATAAATAAATTATAATAAATTTACATAATAGATCATGCATGAGTTTTAAATTCATTATAATAGTTAATTTATGATAATTTTTTTAAAATTTCTAAAGAACTAAAAGTGTATTTATATATTTAAATAATTATGTACCCAGGAAATTGTATAAGTTATTGTAACATGTATGATTGTGATTGTGTTGAGCTTTATAAATTATATATTGCATCTAATTAAATATAATACCTAGATTGAGATTCATTGATTAAAATGCATTCTGAATTGTCATTTAGTACAAATCATCTGGTGCCACTCCATTTTGGTTTTCCATATTTTTATAATAAATGGAACTCATTTTTTTAATTTTCATAACTTAATGCATTATATGGGGAAAATTAGCGTAGCACCAGCTGATTTGTATTGATACGCATTTAAATGAATGAATCGTCAAGTTTAGATATATATTATTTATTGCACCATGTGTGTGAATAAAGTGAAATGTTTATGGCGAAACCAAAAACTATTATAAGTGTAAGAATAGTTTTGTTATATAGATTACAATTAAAAAAATTATTAATTATGGAAATAATATTATTGACACCATGTATATTAAAAGAGTATTATAATAAATTTGACATTGCTTGTTAATTGAATAACTTCGTTGGTTCGAATTTTATAATACAATATGAATTCAACTAAAGAATCTTACAAAAGGAAATAGGTATCTAATTATATTTAGCCCATGTAAATTTTTAGATAAAAGGGCTTAACAAAGGAGGGTCAATTTAAAGTCCTATTGCCATATTTTGATCTTGAGAGATTACGTAAGCTGGAGAGATAATCAGGCTCCCACAAAATCAATAGACTTAAGTTACTATAATTCATAAATTCTACAAATTTATATGTAAGAAAAATAATACTTTGTTACATAATCGAATTAATTTTTATATGATGCAGAAGCCTTTTTAATAAATATTATAATTTTTCGATCAAAGATTTATACAAGCTTTGCTAATATTCAGAGAATATTTATAATAAATTTTAAACAAGTATTGTTCAAAAAGTGAAATACCAAATCTGGAGTAGTTTCGAATGTCACGTTTACCTAAATATTAGAATTGAATTATTGTATGTAGAGATAGTCGCAGGTCTAATTTTTTATTCACGGCCAGCCCGCTCAGGGTGGCAATAAAAAAAATTTACGCCCTTTCACACTTACCACTAAAAAATTTGACTCGACCCACCCGCTCGCGAAAGACAATATTTTGTGCCTGTCACGCTCAAAAATTTACCGCGCCTTTAAATTTTTAAAAATTTTTACGCTTTTTTGAATTTATTCAATCATAGCATTTAATTCTCTAATTCCATATTAATACAAAATAATTAAAATTAAATCAAAATATTTATTAGGAAAAAGAAGAATGTCTGATTTTTTATTTCAATTGTGTTCGCCTTTCTAATAAGCGATTGGCTATAGAAAATTACCTTTCGCTAGAAGCCGAATTTGCTGTGGCTGACAAAATTTTAAAGCTAATTTTCTCAAAAAAAAAAAAAAAAATTTCCTGCTTCCAAAGGCTTCAAAATATTGTATTTGTTATTTGTTTTATGAGCGATGTATCTTTTAAGTTCATCCTCACAACTTTCATTGGTAGATGTTGATGCTTCATCAGAATCATCTAGAAATTCTTTAAATGTCTCATTTAGAATATACGTCTTTTTAGATGTGCTGGATGAATTAAAAAAGTTATAAATAGTAGTTGACATTGACTTAAGCATATCATAAATTTTGTTTGGCATTTTTAAGGTTGTTATACATATATGTTTCTTTTCTTCATCAATTAAAAATTAAGACATTTGAAATTCGGATCTAGAATTCAGTCTTATGTAGTGGCATTAAAATAAATGTTCCTTTAAAATAAATGTTGTCCTTCTTTTTAGTGTTTTGATTATTTTGTATCAGAAGGTTGACAAGATTTAACTAATTTTTGTTTCTAGATAAACTTAATTTATTGCGGGACAAGAATCCGCGCTCAAATTATCCAAGCATTCTTTAATATTGATAATGAAAATAAAACTTATTTAAATTAAATTTATTTATTACCAAATTTCCATTGCTGAACGAGTGAGAGACTATTATTTTTTATTTTATAAGACGGGAAAAAAAATGTTGTTTATAAAATGTGGAAGTTTTTTTTGCTTTTAAAAATTATTCTTTTTTAAAAGAACTAAATTAAATTAGAAAATATATATTATCTATATTATAATTTTCCGATGTCTTCACTACGTCATCGTGACGTCATGTCATCGATACGTCATGTCATCGATACGTCATGTCATCGATACGTCATGTCATCGGTACGTATTTATTTTATTTGTTGATTTATTTATTTATTATTATTTTTTTCAACAGATGAGCCTATAATTCAGTTAAGTATGCAACTGTAGGATGCTAAAGTAAAACCTTAAATATTCTTTTAATTTAACTTTACAAAATTACAAATTATGCAAGTATTGGATGTCAAAGTAATGTATTAAATATATCTTATTTCAAATTATTCATATTATCATTAATATGTTATAAAGCTACCATTCAAAAAAAAATACATTTACTCAATAAAATATCAACAGTCCAAACAATTATTACTCAAGAAGCCAGGCGCTTACGCAGAAATTTGGTCTGGGGGGGGGGGGGATAATAAAATTTTTTATGAAATATTATTGTTAATTAAAAATATTAAGCATAAATTTATTAGGACTAATAACTTTTCTAATACACAATTTTAAATTAATGTGAATTACAAAAATTATATATATAAATCGGCATTGAAAAACTATAAAATAAATGTGAGTTATAAAATATAAAGTGAACATAACCACGATATGAATCACTTAAATGACCCAAAATTGACATTTGAATTTTTTGAGCCTTTAAAATATATAAAGTATAAAAAATTTAAATGTTGGAAATATAAATTAATACACAAAAAGTTTCTTAGGAATAATTGTATTTTGTATGTTTTGAGCTAATTTTTCAATTATCTATCCTTGCTTGGCGTTAAATGCCTATGAATATTCAAAAGATCCAAATCATTCAATCTTCTTTCAGAAGTGGTATTTCATAGGTATGTTTTTCAGAGACTTGCAGGCCCGGCCCCCGAGCTGGACCGTATTTTAATTTTTTTAAACATACCCGGGCCGGGCCAAAAATTCTTTTAAAAAAACACCCTGGCTGGGCCTGAAAATTTTTTTAAAAAAAATATCCGGGCCGAGCTGTATATTTTAAAACAAATATTTTAAATCACCATTATTAGCTAAAAAATCAAAAATAAATATAATTTATTTTTAAAAAATTCGGGCCGGGTCTGAAAATTTTATTTTAAAAAAAGCCAGGCCAGGCCTGAAAATATTTTTTTTAAAAACCCGGGTAGAAAAAAATATTTAAAAAAAATATGGGCCGTGCCCTGCAAATGGTACCTCTGCAGGGCTCTGTTATTCTTCTTAAAAAAGAGAATGTTCTCTCATTAGTTTACTAATTGGAAGAGTTACTATTATATATATAACCATTTAATATATTGGGAATATAATCTAAAATGTGTTTGAAATAATGCAAAGCATCCATAGCATTTTTAGGGACTGTATCAACCATACTTAATCTTTTAATCATAGTTATTCAGCTAATAGCATCATAAGATATTTTAACATCTTCATGATAAAAATCTAACAAATATTTTTTTTTCTATCACCATCTGAAAAAGGTTGGAAAGGCTTTTGTGGAAGTAATATCTGCTGATTGGTAAGCGCTGCATGATGAATTATCATTCATTTGTTTGAGTTAAATGTGTCTAAGAGAGGGGACATTTGTTTTATAATACTTTTCTACTATCCTATATTAATGTTTTGACGATAAGTTTGCTTGCTGCAAGTGGAGGGAGACAAATATTAAACACGTATAGCCCTGCTTTTGACTCAACAGTAACATATAAAATATGAAATTCTTTATCAACATTAGCTCTAATTTCCTTGAGTTCTAATAAAGTGCTCTCCGCTGTTCTCATTTGTTTAATCAAGTCAATGTCATATTTTTGAAAAGTATTACATAAAATAGTTGTATAATTAAATAATGCATTCTAATGAGAAAAAAATATGGAATAAGTATTGAATCCAATAATTTTCTTGCTTCTGAGGAAATATTTTTTTGAAGCCATTGAAATATTTCAGTAATAGCATTAATAATCGGCTCTTCTTAACTCCATAAAAGCTGTTACTGCTTGATGGCGGAGACTCGATCTCGTTGGACAAGCTTGCAATTTCTTTTTCCCTGTTGGAAAAAAAGTTTCAGAGATAATTATTATTGACTAGATATTTAGATAAATAATAAGCCACTAAAATTTGAATGTAATGGGTAAATTACCCCAAGGAAAATATAAAATAACTTAGTAGATGAATGTGACAAATAAATGTAATTAAATATAGATATGAGATAGGAATAAATGTTAACAAATATAAATTAATATTAACAATAATATTTTTGAAAAATATAATCCGGCATCTGCATTTTTTGGCTTGGGGGGGGGGAAGGTGGGGGTGGTTGTCCTCCTACACCCCCCCCCCGCTGCGTATGCGCCTGCAAGAAGCTGCTATTAGTGAAAATAATTATATATGCAAAATACAAATTGATACATAACATTTTTATTATATCAATTATATTACAATATTCAAAATTAATTTTCTTATTTAT